AGGAGGATCGTTGGCTGGGCCTAAGGTCTTTCATAAAGAAAAAAAAGAAAGAGATTGGCTGCCCGGCGATGATTTCACGTTTAATGTGGTCTCTTTCATATTCTTTTGCTTATTTTTGGTGTGCGTTGCTTTCAGGGAAAGAGGGTATCATTGGCTGGACCTGTGTATGCTCTTTTAACAAGAGAAGACAATTCACATGACGATACATTGATATTTTATGAAACTCCTACCCTAGGCGCTTTCCCATCGCATCATCATATGGTATTTGTTTTACGCCCCCTTAATCCTCTGTGCATCCCCTATCTAACCCTGAAATGTGACCAGGGTTATGGCTCTGTCCCTGAAAGTGCACCACCCAGACCACCACCGCTGCACATCACTACTTATGACGATAGCCACATCAATCAGCAATGGACCTGTGAATCACAGTATAATAATGATCTCCTGATAACAAAACTATCAATTGAAGCTATTTTCTATTTAACTCCAACACTGGTGGATGTCGTTGCTAACGGTATCACTTATGCTACCAAATAAGTAAACAAACAAATAGTCAGCTAAGTCGTCAACCAGGTGATCAACTAAGAGGTTTATAAGGTCTTTAACTACGTGGTTGATTAGGTAATAGTTAATTGTATTTCTAGTGATAGCTGGGATAGCGGACAGTGATAGCTGGGATAATGGATGGTGATAGCTGGGATAGTAGGCAGTAATAGCTGGGATAATGGACAGTGGTAGGTGGTCCACCCAGTTTCATATGTGTCAGGAGAGATATTTATCTTTCCTGCTGGCCAGACCGGTAGTAATTCGCACCATCGGAGTCATCAGTTGTTGAGCGATAGGCGTTTACACCATCCGCTCGTGTTGTCTAAGCACACTCAGATGACCATGTTTTATTTACGCCTTTATTTAACCACGCCAAAGGTTACCACACCATGGATAGTGGTAGCGGGGATAATAGACAGTGGTAGCTGGGCACGTGGGTGAAGAAATCCAGACCACATTTCCAACATCAACATTCATCACTCATCGACACATCACTCATCGACACATCACTCATCGACACATCACTCATCGACACATCACTCACCACTTTTTTGGTTAAATTAATTACAAAAAAATATACAAGTAATCAGAAGCTTCTAGAGAACTACAGGATTCATTTTCTACAAGAAATCCTCATGTGGTGGCGGGTAAGAGATGGTGAGGTAAAGAAAATCGATATCATTTTTGCACACTGGATTTCTTCACCCACGTGCTGGGGTAATAGAGTGTATAAGCTTAAATAGTAGAAAATTGCCAGTATTTGCTTTCTTTGACTCATTAAGTTGATATTTAATAATTACATATATGAGGATATAGACAACTTGCCTCTACTACTATATGACCCTCTGAGCATCCCGATATCCACAACCTTCACAAAATCTCATGCACTCTATACATAACTATTTAGAAGTCAACACCACTTGTTTAACTCTACCTTCCACGAACTAAAGCTCTCATGTAGGTATGCATTATCCCAGCTATCACTCTTTAATACCCCAACTATTACTCTCTATTACCCTCTATTACCCCCTATTACCACCTATTAACCCAGCTATTATTATCCATTGCACCAGCTATCATCACTGTCCATTACCCAGCTATGACTTTATTAGGTGTATCAGCTACCGCTGTCCATTATCTCAGCTGATAAAATTGACACAGGCAAGATGATAAGTCAGACAGTTGTCTCTATCACTCAAATAGCTTCGGCTCGCCTCACTAGCTCTTCAACGATTCATTTACAATACACATTTATCCCCTCGAAAGGTACCGGGCACTTTGCTTCCATCACCGGCTATCACTATCCATTACCCCTGACAGGATATCGATGAGCAATATGATGGGCTACGGTAGCGAGTTACATCACCTTCAACACCATTTATTCCTCTGACCGCGAGACACCCACTCTCTCTCTCTCGCGGGCATACCTCTCGGCCTGTTGTTTCCATGACAGTCTATCCCCACTAAGAGAAATGCCCCATTTGATCTTAACGCCGGGAAAGATCTCAGTCTAAGAAACTTTATCGTGTCCTTTTAAGCACCCTTGCCATAGCCTTCTTCATACCCCATTGGTATTGCCAAAGATTTCCTTCATCAGCCGATCCTTGTCACTGCCGAAAACCATCTCCAAGAGCTTCTCCTTTTCCGCACTCTTCTGCACCAGCTCCCAGAACGCTCCAGTGCCGTTGGCTTCCTCGTCATCTTCGGCCGTGTCACCGTCAACCCGCGAGTCACCCTGTTGTTTGGGCTCTTCTACAACGCGTCTCATGCCCGCCTCGAGCAACTCCCGTGGGCTGCCGAACTCGGCCACATGGCCCTTGTCCATGACCAAGAGGCGGTCGAAGTCTGCAACGGTCGACAGTCGGTGAGCAATAACTAGAACGGTACAACCGGCAGCCGCAAACTCTTTACGAAGCGATTCTTGGATATTGCTATCGGTACCCCTGTCGACAGCGCTGGTGGCCTCGTCGAGTATGACAATTTTGGGACGCTTAAGAAGAGAGCGCGCAAGGCAAACCAGTTGTCGCTGCCCCTGGGACAAGTTTGCACCACCCGTGCTGATGGGTGTCGACAAGTTGGTAAAGATGTTGGCGTTGTCCGCAGGCAGGTTCAACTCTGACTCCGGCTCACTCACCGTGGGCTCTCCCTCAACAGCCGTGGAAGCCTCTGTTTCCGTTTCTGAATCTGCAAGGGGGATGGTGGAAGATCCCATAATGACTGAGGCCCCAGCTGGTGGGTATACAGCTGGACGGTCCTGATCTTCAACGTGCTCAATAAGATGGACACGCTGCAGTGCCAATAGCAAATCGTGATCCTCAAGAAGTCCTTCCATATCCAGGTTCGATCGCAATGTACCACTATTACAAGTTCAAGTCAGTATCTTGCCTCCTCTGGTTCGAATCGAAAAAAGCACTTACGAGAAAAGGAAGGGGTCCTGCGGAATGATGGCAAGACGGCTTCGGAGCTGGCTAAGCTTCAAGGTCGAGATGTCGACATTGTCAATATAAACAGAGCCCTCAACAGGCACAAGAAGACGGAAAAACACAGCGGCCAGGGTTGACTTTCCAGCTCCTGTCCGTCCGACGATACCGACTCTTTCGCCAGCACCCACACTAAAGTTGAGTTTTTTGAGGACCGGGGGAAGGTCATCCGCATATTTGACTGTCAGATCTTGGACCTCGATCCTGCCCTCAGTAGGCCATGCTGCTGCGACATCCTTCCCGCCTTCCGGCTCCGTCTCGATTTCTGCATATTCCAAGACTCTCTCGCATGCATTGAAACCCAGCTCCACTGACGTCAACGCTTGAAGAACAGATGTCAGCGCGTTTGTGTAGCGCAGGGCGAAGGCCAAACTGAATCCAGCCAAGGCGGCGTTGGTGTCACTAACTGCTACCGCATTGGCGACGACAGCAACGAAGAGAGCGCCAAGGACCCCCATACGTACAGCCATCCATCGACCAGATAGCTGGAGTGCCCACGAAGCCTTGGAGCTGTTGTCGATCAGGGTAAACATGCGCTTCATGTAGAACTCGGTGCGGTCGAAGGCCCGGATAGTTGAGAGACCAGAAAGCACAGAGCTGAACTGATCGTAGATCGGAGAATGGGACACGGAGTTGATTCGCTTGACCTCTCGGGCAGCGTCGATGTACGCCATGGACACTCGGACGTAGAGTATGAACAGGAGGATGCCGAAAAAAATGACGTACACCGAAACTGACAGACTATTCCCATCAAGTCAGTGATCTGTGTGTAAGGGGGCAGAACAAAACGGCCATTGTACCTGGTAGCAATGATAACCAGCAAAAACAGCACGGTGCGAATCAAGGTAAACGCTTGATTAGAGAGCCGGCGGTCCACAATGAACATATCTGACGTGAAGCGGTTGAGGATTCGACCAGCTGGAACTGTGTCTATCCATCGCAACGGAGCGCGGAGAATGGCATGTGTCATGTCTTGGAAAAGAACTCTGGAAGCTTTCATGCCGATGACGAAGAAGGCCAGTACTCTTATTATCTGGACCAACAACGTCGAGAAGTCGATCACGAGCCAAACGGACAGCCCTAAAAAAAAGGTCACAATGTCAGCCTCGTTGACGAACAACGGTAGTACGTGGCGCAAGACTTACAGAAGTAGATGCCATAGCCCCAGTGCCAACCCTCTCTCTCTTCGGAGCCAGAGCCGGCAGCAAAATGGAAGGCGTTCTTGGAGGTAGTTTGAACCGTGAAACGGAGGGCCTCTGGCTCTTTCGATGCTGTCTGCGCAAGCTCTTTCAAACTCCAAGCCCGGAAGACCGACAAGAAATGACCGAGCAAAAGAATGCATACACCCCCAATCCAAGGCAACAGGCCGCCACTGGCTTTGAAGTAGGCTTTGTACACCTTGGTTTTGACACGACCTGTCTCTCTGCTTTCTTCGTCCTCTTTGGGTTTGCTCTTGGTTGCCAACGGAGGCTGTCCATTTACCAGGCTATCATCCGTGGATGGAACATCTTGTTCAGACAGGGCTGTCAACGCAGAGCTGTCTTCAGAAGGTGTAAGGTGCTCAACCGAGAGGACTTCTCCGTTATGGAGCTGGATATGAAAGCTAGCATGTGGCAGGACGAGCTCGGCATGATGAGTGGCGAGAATGCGAGTCCTCCCTCTCGCCAGCTCACCCGTCAAGGCTTTGTCAACGATCAAACGCCCGACATGAGCGTCGACGGCGCTGAGAACATCGTCCAGAATGAGAATCCCAGCCCGAGAGTAGAGAGCTCTAGCAAGGGCCGTTCGCCAGCGCTGACCGCCTGAAAGCGTCACCCCCTTGGGTCCAACTTCTGTTTGATCACCGTCTATCAGGAGCTCAATGTCCTTTTGAAGAGCACAAGCAGCAAAGACCTTGCGATAGCGATCCTCTACAAAAGGGAGGCCAAATATCACGTTCTCTCTCACGGTGCCACCCTCGATCCAGGGAGTCTGAGAGACAAACGAGGTCAGTTCGGGGATAATCCATTCGGACTCAGGGATAGCCTTGGCATCGTGGTCAAAGGGAGGCAGAACGGGCATCCGAATGACGCCGTTGAGTAGCTTGACTTCTCCCAGAATAGCGGCAAGCAAGAGGCTTTTGCCGGCGCCTGTTTTACCCGATACCAAAGTCAGTTGGCCAGGAGGGAATTCCAGGTTGATATTTCTGAGCATTGAGTGGGCGCCTCTTTCTTCGGTGGCATCCTCGTCATCAATCTTCTCGGTATCCTCAATTCTTGGCCACGCCACTGTGGCATCCTTGAACAGAATGGAGTCCCCGGGTTTTGATACTGGTTCCTTGTCGGATTGACTGAAGAACTTCTCCAACCGGACAGCACTGGTCCAAGCTTCGAGCAGGTATGTTTGAAGAAGTGGAAGGAGAGCTACAGCCTCATCCAGCTGGTCGAAGAGGCCGAGTGCGGTGAAAATCACGGAAGCCTTGATGTTTGTTCCGTTCTGCCAAACGTAAAGGAAGTACGTGACACTGGCCAGCATGATGGGTCCCAAGTTGATGATGAAAACAACAAGGCACTGCCATACAGCGACTCTCCAGTACTGTTTGAGCTCTTCGTTACGGCTCTTGAGAATCTTGTCCTCCCAATGCTGCTCCAAGGCCGAGAATCTGATTTGTCGCATGCCCTGCAGAGCCTCTGTCAACAGATGGGCCTTTCCATCGCGATACTTCATCAGACCAAAATGAAGGGCCGTGTATTTGGTGGACAAGCGCGAGCTGATGGGGATCACGAAGCACGCGGCGAGTAGGCCGCTGACCACTGGTAGCCAACCCATCAAACTAATACAAAACCCACCGGCAAAGATGAGTTTGAAAATAGCCATGGGGAAGTTATTGTTGTACATGCAAAAGATTGTAACGCGGTTGGAGTCAAGCTTCATGTGGTTGATGATGTTCTGTCGAGTCTCCGGTTCTTTTCCTTTGGCGTTGGCTTTCTTTCCTGGCTTGCTTGCGTCATTGACGCCATTGGGCTCGCCTGCTTTTCCATCTTTTTTGCCGTCGGTTTTGTCTTCTTTCTGGGCCGGGGGAGCTGTCTCGTACTGCTTCAGCGCCTTGAAGAAAACCAGGGACTGCAGAAGTGAGCCAACAGGTATCTCCAGACGAGTCGTGGTGATCCACCTAATCCAGTTATTGACGCCGACTTGGAGCAATTGGCTCAGAAGCAATCCTAGAACCCAAATAAAGATGGTGGGATCTGTGGCTGTGTCTTTCTGCCGGTTCTCGATCCTCTTCAGGAAGTTGTACAAAACAACCTGCGGGAACAAGGCCAGAAGCGCGACGACCAGGGTAAGCAACCACTGCAAGGCCAGCTCCTTGGAATACGCGTAGATGAGCTGCTTCCAGAGCGGCAGCTTCTCACGGCGCGTCTTGATGAATCTAGCCTGCAGGTTTCTTGATTTTGTGGCAAAGTCGAGGTTCGGGATGTCCTCAAGCTTCATCTGACGCTCCTTGGCCACATCAAAGATAACCCTGTTCCAGGAAAACGAGAAAAGATCGAGCAGAGACCTGGTGTGTTGCTGGTCGACCAGCCCTTGATCATCGTAGACATCCGGTCTCCTTGAGAAAGAAGCAAAGCCCAAAAATGCGCCAACAGAAGCCGAAAATTGTACAATGTAGAGGAAGCCAACCGCCCGGTATTTGGTATCCGAGTCGGAATCCAAAATCAGGGCCAGCGCTTCGAATCCATGGAGCACAACTACCAAGACGGCGATGACAAGGGAGGATGCCAAGCCGTACACTGTCAAGCGGAACTTGGAGAGATAGAGATGCTTTGGAGGAAGAACGATGGCCTGTAAAGCAAGAAGAGACTATTTGTAAATGTTAACATTGTTTCTGTCTATTCGTCGTGTGTGATCAACCGCATGCCACTCACCCAACAGACAACCTCTGCCCAAAAGATCCAGTCGGAGAGAGTGGGCGGGATCAAGACGTTGGAGGCAATCAAAGCGCCAATACCAGCGAAGATGGCGAGGCCAACGGCAATGCGAGGTCGCGTGTCCGAGAAAGCCCGGATGGACTCTTCGGTCGCCACACCGTCGAGATCTTGGTACTCATCGTTGGCGTTGATGGGGGTGTAACCAGAGCCACCCCAGATGCCCTTCTCTCTCCAGGAACGGGTGACGGCAGGCGTTGACAGAACTGTTACCAGAACGGCGGCACCGACTCCAATTAACTCATGCAGGCGCTCCGAGCCTGGGATTTCGGTGGCTGTCCAGGCCATTTTGTCGGGAGTCGAAACTCTCTTGGCGCGGGAGTGGAGCTGAGAGTTGTAACGGAGAAGTTGAACCCTATTTGGGTTGTGATGGTGGATGTTGTTTCGGATGAGTCGCGTGGTGCATTGCAGTTCCTGTGTACCTGCAGAGAGACAGATTGTTGGATGGACGATAGAACCAAACTCCCGTCGCAAATCCTGCAAAAAGATCGGTTTTGGGGGGCAAATAATTGTTCGAGCTCCAGAAGTAAGAAAAAGCCATCAAGGTTCCTAGCGGTCAGAGAGCGGCGGCACAGTGCGCATTGTGTGAGTCGGACTAGGCAGCGATGATATCGACATCATCAGTGCCCGCATCCAACCAAGACAAAGGAGAAACTGCACTTTGGAGGCCGTCGTACAATAGGTATACGGAACTACATCACAACCTCTGGGCAAGATCATCTATCTGTATTTCGGCCCTGTATACATTGGCATCAAGCATCGACCTCGAGGTTGGGCCATCCGCACTGTGTTTCCTTAGCAACTGACAACCAACTGCCGTTACATGCCACGGCACTTTTCTCACTAGCGATCTGGCTTACAGCTCTTCACAGGTCTCTCCGACATGAACCAGCTGCCATTTTATTTGAATAATTATGTTATACTACATGGTCGTAACATCATAAGAGTCTCTCAAGTTCCACGGACGCTCAGCCGTTCAGAACAGTGCCTCCATTGCAGTGGATCGTCTGTCCACTGATGGCCGAACTATCGGTAGACGCGAGGAACACAACGCAGGTTGCGATCTCACTCGGTTGTGCGGGCCGACCCATTGGGCTGGTAAATTGCTTCTGCGCGTCATCGTTCATCGTCGACGGGATCAAGGGGGTCCACACGGGACCTGGCGCAACAGCATTCACCCGGATACCCTGACCAACCTTCTGATTGCTCAGTCCACGGGTAAAAGAAATGATGGCGCCTTTGGTCGATGTGTAATCCAACAAGTCAGGCCGGCCGGTGTAGGCGTTGATGCTTGCATTGTTGATGATGGTGCTTCCAGGCTTCATGTGAGGCAATGAATACTTGGCCAGGTAGAAGTAGGGGTGGATGTTGGTGTCGAAGGTATGGATCCATTGGTCCCTTGTGGCTCGCTGTCAGTCGTCTTTCCTCCTCATGTTATTTCCAACCGTCATACTCACTCGGACAAGTCCTTGATGTCAGGAACCATCATCTGATAGGCCGCATTGTTGAAAAGGATGTCGATCTGGCCATTGAATAGTTTGACGGCCTCATCGACCACCTTCTGGCAATTCTTGCGGTCCCGCAGATCGGTTGAAATGAGATAACATTGCTGACCGTACTGCTCAACACGTTTCTTGGTCTCTTGGGCATCATCCTCTTCCTCAGGCAGATAGGCAATCAGCGAGTTGGCACCCTCCATGGCAAACAGGATGGCAGTCGCACGGCCAATACCAGAATCACCACCTGTGATGATAGCATTCTTGCCCTTGAGCTTGCCGGCAGCTCTGTACTTTTGGTTCTTGCCATCGCTAGTTGGGATCTCATCGAACAGTGGTGTAGGATATGGCATTTTGGCCTCTTTTCCAGGGAAATCCTGGTGCGTCACCGGGATCTCGTGCCCTGTCACTGTGTTAGTCCCGAGTATTTTGATATAAGACAGCAATGTGGCCGCTCGACTTACCACTCTGGAATTGTCCCTTGTCAGTCATTTTGAATGATTGGTCTTCGATCGATGCGAAATTGCTTCCTGGGGTAAAGAAGGATGTCTGAATGAATAGGAATCAACCAGGTCAAAAGAACAAAAAGGGTCTCTGAAATATTTGTATTAAATCGGACATCTGAAGGTGAGTTGCTACTGCAGGTACCCAGTCTATGACATAATTGGGGAGCTTCTGGAAAGTGTCCGCAATCACAATGACGACATGCAATGGGGTTGGAGCTTTTGCTCCCCCAACAGTCGGACACCCATTTACCTTTTCAGAGAAGAGACTGAAATCATTCGGCCAGTGTCAGATTCGACAGCTGCATGCTCTCGGGTGGTCAGGCGTTCGTGAAATCCCATGGCTCTGATTGGCCAGGCATCCTTCTTCAACAATAAACAACGCCACCTTGGATATCTCATCAACTTCTGGGCTGGACAATATTTGACTCGGTACTCCAAGTATAAAAGGCCAGTTGCTTGTTAAAACTGCTCAAGCGTTGATGTTGCGCGACCACTCACCGGCAGTGACAAGCTCGATAGGAATGAGTCGAGCTCACGAGCTGGTGTCTCTCCGAAGCAATTTCATAACCCCAGGCCGGCGGTTTGCTCTAGTCTAGCCGAACGGTTTGGTCAACGGCGGTGGACCGTTGAGTCGTGACTCTTGTTTTGCAAGGCTAAGTTTAGATGGTTTGACTACTTCTAGGGCATCGTTGAATCCACGCTGTTGGGCAACTCAGTATAATAACACAGCAAAATGTCAATGATCATGTTGTGTAAGACCTTATCCATAGAAGAGGTCTTCTTGGTGGACACTCATTTGAACTCGTTCTGCCGTGTCCTTCTTGTCGCTGTTGTGCAGCATGTTGTCTGATCTTGACCCTCGAGGGGTTCGGCTTTTTGTGCTTCAAATTACATTCCTCGCACTTGTCTATATTTTCGTTTCTCTTCGAATTCTCGTTAAATCTTTGACTATCAAGAAGATATCACTAGACGATTGGTTGATATTTGTGGCTGTGGTACGTCGATAAGTGCCAAACCACCACCCACTCTTGACGAAGTGATAACAGTTATTTTCTGTAGATTGTTTACACCACTCATACAACCATCACCGTATGGGGCATCGTTAACGCAAGCGAGGAAGGAGTTAAGGACTTCGTCAGGGGCGAAAACATTGCTCTACACTCCTGGTTCCTCAACGAAGCTCTCTACGCGCCGTTGTCAGCACTCATTCGAAGTTCAATCGCCGTCTTGCTGCTTCGCATAGCCACCGACAAAATCCACAGAAACATAATATACGTAAACCTGGCCTTTACTTGGACCATTACCGCCATCTACTTCTTCATCGTTATCTTCCAATGCTCACCCTCTTCATATTTCTATGATCAAGTCCTGGATCCATCCGGCGGGAGCTGGTAAGTCACAAATTCTATCAAACAAACCATGTACTCCTGTAGTCTCACAAAAAGGGGTTGCCAAGCATCGACAAAAACGTCGTCCCGCGCGTGACCATCGCCCACAGCATCGTCAACGCCGTAACCGACTTCATTCTGGCCTTCCTTCCCATTGCCATCCTTTGGAATGTCAAACTCAACAAGCGTACCAAGGTTGGAGTGGCAACTCTTCTCGGAATGGGCGTACTCGCGGGGATATGTCTGATAGTCCGTATCCCCTACGTCAAGTTCATACCCGTTTCTGATCCTGAGTTTCTCGAACAAACAAAGTAAGCTTCAAGTTCTCCCTCGCCATCTTTACAAACAAGTCTGACACCAGCGCAGTGGTACCGCCTTCTGGAGCGTAATGGAAACTTCTCTCGGTATCATCGCCAGCTGCGCAGCCACGCTTCGCCCTCTTATGTGCGGATTTGGACCAAGGCGAACCCCCTGGCGCCAGGGCAGCCACCACAATAAACCCATGTCCCGATCTCGATCCAAGAAAGACAGAGCTTCCAGCGCAGCAAACTCCACGCCCCAGAATCGCGCCAGGATAATTACGCTAGTCCAGTCCCAGAATCTCCGAGAGACAAAGGACGACTACCCCCTCCCATACCAATCCATCTCCCTGAATGATATCTACAGTCCAGTACATTTGCCTCACGACGCACAAATTCGTGAGACCGATTCTCCCGACTTTGAACTGGCCATGCAAATGCCGGATCCCGACCCTAACCCCATGCGGTACTCGAACCATCATGAGCATGGATATCCACATCATTACGAATCGAGGGGTCCGGGAAGGCTTTGGGACAGGAAGCGGACAATAAGTGCGACCTCGATGTACTCTCCAATGTCAGGTGGTGTCAGAATCAAAACTAGTATTGAGATCACGAGAGAGACTCATTCGCCCGAGGGAAGGGAAACGCCTCAGGACTCCCTCAACTTCCCAATTTACGGTGAGCAGGTGGTCACGATCAACGGCCCAAAAGGGCCGCGTAGATGTAGGTCTGCTCAGTGAAGTTGTGGTGAGAGGTATCATTGTATACGGGGTCTACCTATTTTTGGAGAATGACAACATATGTTTCTCCGCGAAAGTGTTAAAATCGTACCATCCCGCTAGCAGGGGCAGGAAATAGGGAAAAGAAAAAGTAAGAACGAAGGAAATTGACGTAAAAACCACAATCAAGTGCAGATTTTACCAACATAGCATGCCGACATGTAGTTGTATCAGAAGTCAGGCAAAAGATGCAACGCTCCCCGGTCAAGAATCCGGCGCCGGCTCCCATGTCTTGTTCCCGAGGAAACTGTAACAGCCAACAGCCCCATTCGAGTCATAGAGTGTGGTGTCTGGAATCTTCTGTTAGTAAAGTCAACTGGCGTCACTTGTGACAGAAGACCCTTACTCAAGTCGAGCGTTGAGTTAGTGTGCCCGCCGTTCATATCCCAGCACAAACAACTCAAATACAGCGACTTGTCATGAATAAAGGTACAGTTCTCGCATGATCCGGAGTAGTTCCCACTGTCCTCGAGTTAGGGAGACTGCTTTCTTGGAGGGGACCAAGAGACGTTTCACTCACTTCTCATATACTACAAGCTGTCCAGCATTGTTTCCCGCGCAATGATCCAAGTCCAGCCTGACGTGACGTGTTATCAGTATGCCTCTCTTTTGGAGCCACCGGAGAGAGGGACGAGCACTCACATGCTGTAATTGAATCCGTAAATATCAACATCGTCGTTGAGACAATAGACACCAATCCAGTGATGTTTGTCGGTCAGGTTGGCGCCTGCATAGGCGCAGTCATGGGTGAAGCCACCTTCGCTCGAGGTCAACAAGGGGAACACGAGGCCCAGAAGAAGAACGGTGGCGGTCAAAACGGGATACGCGGAGAAGGTGCCCATGTTGTCAGATTCTGAGGCTGCTCCGGTGCTTTTGAAACTCTGACGACGCGATGGTATAAGTCGAGGTGGGTTGGCAGAGCTCTGCGGGAGCTTGGGGGCCACTCACTCTGGTGACGGCAAGTGTAAACAATGAGGAGGTAGATGAGAGCAAAAGGGCAGATACTAGTACGAGAAATATCTTGAAATAGCCACAGTGTCGAAACTAAAATGCCTGGCCGGCCGCAACGAAACCACCTACTCGGATAAATCAAGGAAGGTGGAGACTTACAAAGTGGTGGGCAGCATGGTTCATGATCGAAAATGGAAAGAGCAACATCCCCAGGGGCAGGCACTCTACACAAGTTCAATATCCACCCACGTCACGACCCAGGGAGCTGAGATTAGCTGGGCCAGCTCGGTGTTACGGAAAAGCCCGCAAACTTGCTAGATCAAACACAGGACCGGAAGCCATGGACCTTCTTTGACCTCATGCTTCCAGGCTCCTACTGCAGTCGTCAACAAACCATCTCTCGTCCTTTATCCCGCTCCTTCCCAGATCATCGTTACGGACGAATACTCCCGCCCGGACCTCTTATAACCGACGACTACCTGCAAGAGCTCTGAAGCAAGCCAAGTGCTTTCCTGATTTGGCCGACCAGGGGTCCTGCCATCGACGGTCTTTGTCCCCAATGTCTCTCAAAGGTGTCTGTGGGATATTGATAGGTAGGCAAAGCTGACCAAGAGGCTGAGAACCTCACTTCCACTGCAGCATTCAGGGTCTTCCACAAGACATTCTTGACATCTGCAACACCGCTGGAGCAGCACAGCAGAAAAGCCGAACCCGTTTGCTGCACGTTGTACCGACTTCTTGCACTACACATGACCTGCATGGATATCGGCGTGATGTCCATATTTGTGAAATCGGTTGTTTTCATACTTCATAATTTACGAGTATGAAATATTTATTTAGAATAGGAAGAGTACGGCCTGAGGATCAACATGGTACATTGCATGAGGGCTTGATGTGCTACATCAAAATGTATAAGCTACGTATCTTGTTCATGAAGGTGCCTGCTGCATAGCTCCTGCTGAAGATTCCGAGTTCAGTATCACCAGACTCCCATTATCATCATACCCAACCCGGCCCTCGTCCACTGCTCTTCGCAACTCCGCACGAAGAGGCTCTCGATCACCCGTTACCGGGTCCCATTCCCATCCTTCCCGCATCCTGCAACCAAGCTCAAGTCAGCAAAACTGTTCAGGTCGGGCCTCGCTAGGGAATTGCCCTCTTTCCTACCCGTGTGTGACACAGAACCCCCAGGTCACAAACAACACAGGAAAACAAGAGAAGGAATAAAGTATAACGTACCACATCCATCTCAAACAAGCTCTCAGCTCCTTATCCTTGGGTAGCACTCTCATCCACTCCGGCTGGAACCCTTCCCCTCGTCCCCCCTTCCCAGTCCAATCCTCCGCCCGACCGAGTAGCTCATCCCTACAAAATATCCTCCACGAGTCCAACGTATACGCACCCTGCGTCAAATGCCCAATCTCCCAAGCCTGCCCTATCGCCCGTTCCCTTCTATCCTTTACCATATCCATCACATCAAGCCCCCCTCCACCATCCCCATTAAAATTACCATTGTCAAAATCCTCGGCTCCAAAAACCTCCCCAGCTGTAACATTCCTACCATCCTCGACCGAAGGATAGTTCCTCACCCCATACCTTCTCTCCCTCACCGGCGGGTTCTCCACAAACCCCCTTGCATACTTTTGTATGATGGCATACCTGTGCTCCGACAACCCCAGCGGCTTGATCAACTCCACCACCTCATTCTTATTCTCCTCCTTTGCCAACTCTTCCGGCGTCGGAAACCGTCTGACCAACTCCCAAAACACGGGGATGGCGATCCTCCCAGCGGTTTTGATCAAAAAAGTCACGGCGACCAACAGGTGAAAAGGGGAGTGTGCTAGCTCTTCCTGAATGAGACCAAACTTTGAGGCGCCCAACGGTGGGATTGGGAGGCTGGATACCACGCCGGGAGGCGGTTTTCGGAGGGGCCGGTTTGGAGTTGGGGGGCGGTTGATGAGCGGTGTTTCTTGTTGCTGGACTTCTTGTCTTTCTTGGACAAGCTCTTGTGACGGTGGTGGACTTGTGCTAAAAAAGGGGGAGGTTTTAGTTCTGCTCGTTGCCTTGATGGCTTGTTCGGTTCGGGTGCGCGCGCGGTGGCGAGGTGATGATGGGTTGGAATGGATGGGTTTGGAATCGGTGTGAGGTAAACCAGGTTTATGGCCTGGAACAGGGCCGTGGGAGGGAAGAGGAGGATAGAGTAGCGAGTGGACTTCACGATGCTGGGGAAGGTTGTTACCTAAGTCGATGCCTGGAATTGTCGGGAACGGCACGGGCGTCTGGCGAGCCATAGCCGGCGCCTCTTGCTTCAAGTTTTTTCTTGGGAATGAGGGGACAGGGACAGTTGTTTCTTTAGACGCTGAAACAGCTTGACAGTCTGAGGAGGAAGGCATAGCTGTTTTGGAGGTGATCCCAAGATCTTTTTGGAGTTCTTGAACGATTTTGTCGAACCGTTCAAAAGGGGCCGATAGCTCCTCACGCAACTTATTCGCTAGCTCGTCGAACTTGACAAACGCCTGGAAAGATGATGCCGGGGCTGGGGCTGGCTGAAGTTAGCATGTTTGCTACTCGATGCATTTGATGTAAACTTACCCGAAGAGCTAACCGCGCCATTCATATCCTCGTCACCATCCCAAAAGTGAGAGGTATGCTTTGACGATTGTTTTGCCTTGTTGATTTCCTTCTTCTGCTGCACAGTGGCATCTGAATACTGAGGTGCCATTGTTGTCTCTTTATTGCCACGCATCAAAGTAGTATTCTGCTGCTTCTTGAAGGTGTTAGAGGGGGCTTGTCCCAAGGCAAAAGCTTGCTGCCGAGATCCTTGAGACTGGTCGGTATGAAAGACTAAACCCGAAAGCACCTCGTCTGCTATGACAAGTTCGCTTGGTGAGTGCAGCAGTTGATTATTATTGATTGGGATTTTTCTGGCTGTGGTGACTTGAGGATCCGTTTTGGAACAATGCCCAGCGTGGGTATACCAGTCAGTATTAGGTGGGCAGTAAGAGGGAATAATTGGTGGAGAGAAACAGATCGAGTGTTGATTCTCGTCACGTAAAAGAACCTACATAAACAAAACAAAGTGAGGTCGCCGGTCACAAGAGGGTTCGCCGAGCCAACTTGATTAGTGTCGTCGATGCGGGTCTACGTGGGGAGGTGGTATCACTTTATCTTGGTGCATCATCTCAACCGTCAACATGGGTTAAACCACCAGAAACACATATTTCCTGTCATCATCAACCATTTTGGTCCTGCCAAACTCTAGACCACAATGCTGAACGACAAGGAAAGTCTAGCTGTATTGAGACCAAGACATTTGATTTACACACCATCACACTTCCCCGCTGCTCCATCTTCCTCTGAGGCCTTTTCCTTCCCTTCCTTTTCGTCTACGCGATACATAGGGATCTGGGAGACCGTAGCAGTATATGATACAAACAATAGAGGCAAAGCTTCATTTTCCTGTAGCCTCGCTTGAATTTAGCGGCGGATGTTGGTCTTGCCCTCCTTGGGAGGATCGTAGACAATCTTTCTCGACTTGAGCCAGGCCCACTTGTACCGCTTAACCCAGACGCTCATGGCGAACAGAACAGATGTGATCGCCAGAACCTTCATACCCATGCGCTTGCGGTCATCCATCTCGGGCTCAGCAGCCCAGTTGAGGAACTCGGTAACGTCCTTGGCCATCTGGGAAGTTGTCGCAGGGGTATCGTCCTCATACTCGACCAAGCCATCGTACAAGACACGAGCCATGGCAATACCGGTACCGGGGAAGTAGGGGTTGAAGTTGAGACCAGCGCCGACCTGGGCGCCGGCAGGGGGCTCATCGGGGTAGCCGGTGAGGAGGTTGAAGATGTAGTCGCAGCCACCGTGGCGGGCCTTGACCATCAAGCTGAGATCGGGAGGAAGGGCACCGTTGTTGGCGAAACGGGCAGCCTCATCGTTGGGGTAAGGAGAGGGGAGGTAGTCGGACAGCTTGCCGGGGCGCTTCTCGATCTCACCCTGGTCGTTGGGCTCGGTGTCGTACTCGTTCTCCTCAGCCAACGCCTTGGCCTCGTCAACGGTCAGGATGGTGCCGACCAGGGAGCGGTAGGGCACTCTGCTGAGAGAGTGGCACGAGGCGCAGACCTCGCGGTAGACCTGGAAACCTCTCCGGAGACTGTGTGCGAGCAAGACATCCCATGTAAGCCATGCTGTCGGAGCTAGTAGGGACAGGGGGTGGATGGTGGGGGGTTGGAGAGCTTACGCTTGGTGGTCAAAGGTCTTGAACCATTGGTTGTGAACCCAGGGGTACTTGGTGGGATGGAGACTATGTCGCCAGTAAGCTTCGCGATCTTGTATCCCAACTCGTGGTGCCGTAATGTCCAAGCCGGTCGAATATGCCTCAAACATGAGACGAATAACCTCGGCCCCCACGGCAACACGGGTTGGCCCCTCCGATCAACCACTCACCCTTCCTCAGCAGGCGTCATGGCATGAGAGTTGCCATAGAGATGGTAATACCAGCCGACAGAGCCGGCAGCAACGGCGGTGGCAGCGGCGGCGGCGATGTTCAAGCGGAGCGGCGACTCGGCAGTCGATCCGGAGCTCGAGGAAGCGGCGCGCTGGGAGACGAATACGATTAGCTTCCAGCGGGCCACATAACAGCTTCGTCCTCGTCCGGGTCGATGGCCGGGGCTTCCCTCGTCGGGACAATTGGAGGAGGCGGCGGTTCGGCGGGCGATGTCGTCGGTGCCATGTCATACCACCACGGGACCTGGCACTTGTCTTGGGCAAACATACCTTGGTAATCTGCACGGCGCCATTTCTCGCGCTGGCGAAGGCGCGCATCGGGCGCACACAGGACCTCGCAAGCATGGTGGGCACACCTTGCGGAGCTTAGGGGGGTATCGTGGGTGATCTGACAAGGCAATTGGCCTGCCAATGTCGGTGTTTTGAGGTTGGTGGCTCGGGCTGGTGATGGTCGACGCAGTCAGGATTCTCAAATTCGGGATTCTTAGGAACTCTGGCTGTCTGATTGGCCGGCCAATCACAGCAGTGCTGACGGCCTATCAATTTTTCCGCCAGCCTTTCCTCGCCCGGCTGCGGGTGCTATGGGCTTGGCTTGTGCAATTCAGTCCCCAAGCTCCCACTCCGTACCCACCGTCTTTCCTGGATGGGGCTTCAAACATCAAACATCAGACATCAACGTCAGAGGTCATGACTTGGACAGAGAATATCCGTACCGATACCGCCGCATTCATCATTCACACCCAGGATATCACTAAACACAACTACTTTTCCTGTACACTTGAAACGCCAAAAACGCCCCATATCAAAAACCAACGCCTTTTCCTTGTATACAAAGCTCCATTTTAAACCCTTCAACCGCTCTCAGCTTAGGCGCTCTTCTGGCTGAGAACCTCTCTCCGCTTCTTTACCGCATTGGCAAGCACATCGAGAACAGAGACAGTTTCCTCCCAACCAATGCAGGCATCGGTAATGCTCACGCCATACTTGAGGCCCTCCTTGCCCTCTTTGGGCACCTTCTGGTTACCTGTCTAAGTGTTAGCAACTCGCAAAATCAACGTCAACTGTTCATGTGATAACTCACCCTCGCCAATGTTGCTCTCAATCATGACACCCATAACACCCTCCTCGCCCTTCTCAATCTGCTCAGCCAGCGTGGCAGCAACCAAGGGCTGGTTCTTGTGGTTCTTGAGGGAGTTGCCATGGCTGCAGTCCACCATCAACCGCTGACGAAGACCGGCCTTCTCGAGAGCCGCCTTGGCTTCAGCAATGCTCTTGGCATCGTAGTTGGTACCCTTGGTGCCACCACGGAGGATAACAAAGCAATCCTCGTTGCCGACGGTGCCGACAATGGCCACGACACCGGGCTTTGTCACAGAGAGGAAGTGATGGGGGTGTTTGACGGCCCCAATCGCGTCAACCGCAACGCCCAAGCTTCCATCGGTGCCGTTCTTGAAGCCGACAGGGAAACTGAGACCGCTAGCCAGTTCGCGATGAAGCTGGCTTTCAGTTGTGCGGGCGCCAACAGCACCAACGCTCAAGAGATCGGCCAAAAACTGCGGGCTAATAGTATCGAGCATCTCGCTGGCAAGGGGCATGCCCTTGGTAGTGAGGTCAACAAAGAGCTGTCTGCTCAGACGAAGACCCTTGTTGATCTTGAAGCTGTTGTCGATATCGGGGTCGTTGATGAGGCCCTTCCATCCCACAGTAGTGCGTGGCTTCTCGAGGTAGGACCGCATAACAATCAACAACTCGTCCTTGTGCTTCTCCTTCTCCTTGAGCAGCATGTCGCAGTACTCAAGCGCCGCCTTTGGGTCATGGATAGAGCAGGGTCCAATGACGACCAGAAGCCTCTTCTTCTCATCGGTGTTGTTGACAATGGCAACAGCCTCCTCACGGCCCTCCAAAACGGTGCGCTTAGACTCGACAGTCTGGGGAATTTCGTGTTGGAGCAAGTCGGGTGGTGTCAACGGGTTGTAGCCGCGAACTGAACGAGGTCAGCGTTTGCTGGACATATGCGACGTTTCAGTCTTGGGCTCACGTACTCCTCCAGTCTTCGCTCTCGGCCTTGTTGCCAACATTCTTATTCTCAATGTAGAAACCCTACGCAACAATGTGAGTCAGCGTAGTCCTGTTGTTTCTCGGCGCTGTGGCCTGAACATACCGACATGATGGATGACTGCGCTTTGTGTCTGTCTCTCAAATGGTCCGGTTCAATTGGTGAGAAAAAAAGGGTGAAACTTGACACAGGCTAGAAGATATTTTGCAGAGGAAAGATTGTCTTGCAGAGCAAAGGGTGCATGAATCTTTTTTTCGCCGGTGGCGGTCAAAGAGCTCGAGGTCAATTCAACTACTCCCCTCCCATAGAGTTTTGAGAGGGGCAAACCCCAATGAGTCAAAGTGGGGCAATATGCTATGTACCGTTTTCTGACTTACAAGCCATCAGAAGAGACTCGGCTTATCCTAGCATCGCTTCTGCATTCGACAAAGAACTACGTCAAAGACACTGGGCCCTGAGTTGGCTTTGGTTCACCCACAGGTTTCTGACACGCGAGTGAAAGGCACAGAGCCATCAACAATGGGGGAACCAGAGAACAGCAGGGTGAAATGTGTGTAATTCACCTCCAGGCATTGGTCCTTCAGAGGTCTCGAAAGGGTGGTTCAACATGACCCCACCCACATCGCTTCCAAGGTCTTGAACTGCAGGCAGGCAGGAGCTCGAAACAGGTTCCACTCGCCGACGTCGGACCTGGAATTCTATCGTCTTGCTGGGAACATCCCGCCCAACGACATGCTAACTGTACAGGTACGGATGCCCCGACTTCTGAACTCACCATCTCAATCCGTTTTGATGGGATGAAGAGCTTCCTTCTTGAACTGTTCAATACCGTTGATCTTACCGTACAGCCACTTTAGAGCCAGTGTGCTCGTCGTCATGAGCCCGGCTGAGACTGAAAAGAGAATCACTCGCTGCCAAGTTTTGAGCAGCTCAAACATGGGATACGGGTACCTTCACGACATGGTCAGACAAGAGCAACACAGAAGTCATTGCAACAAGGCTTTGCCTGTGTCTGCAGAGTTACCGTACCATCCGTTTTGCTCAAAGCAATATTCAACCCACCCCCAGTATAGAAATGCCAAGCAGGTACTGAGAGCCATAGCACTGTAAACTCTGATGGTCCAAGGAGGACTGAGTAGTATCAGATCCATCGTTAACATGACGGCTGGCATCGCATGAAATCCACTGTGAAAGTTGGAGTTAGCTTGGACATTTCAATGGGTCGTGGGCACTCTCACAAATCTGGGAGGAATGGAAGTGCGAACTCTGGTGGGAAAAGGAGGGACTTGTCAATGGCACTTATGCTCCAGTACAGAATGCTGATCAGAACCTCCAAGGGTGTTGAACACACTGAGAGAACATTTTTGATGCCAAAGAGCCGAGGGCTCAGAGTGAGATCGGCCAACAGGCCAAAGGCAAACGTTGCCGTCGCTAAAGCGAGCCCAATGATGGCTGTTCCCCTTGTCAGTCTTTTCCCTTTTCATCCTCTTGTGTGGAACGTAATGTACTGAGAAATTGAAAGTCACCACCAAACCCGAAGTGAATTTCGGTTGGGAACTGCTGAAGGTACCAAAAGCTGCACGAGTATGACAAAAGACCGATGGCATGTACAAGGGCTGAGAAGCTCCGGGAAGGCGAGGAGAGCCGTTGTAAAGGGTGGGGTTGGTTTGCCATTCCGTACCTATTTGAGCGGGTGAGCAAGATGCACGGTTGAAATTAAATGCCCTCTGACCTCGGTATTCCTTAGAGGCCTCTTCCTTATATTTATCGAAATGTGGATCGAAGCAAGAAAGAGGTGATCAAAGAGTGTGTGATGGACCCTCTCTACGTCATCGATTTCGATCAGAAAAGACCCAGGGGGATAGGCAAACGGAAGGTACTCGCAAAGGAGTGGTAGTAAAACAGATTTAACTGCCAGCTACCGAACGAAAGTGTACAACGATATAACGGATGAATACAAGCAGAGCAGATGCCATGAACCATAGGGTCAACGTTCACAAGTCATAGTGCACCTCATGTCCGCGGTTATCGGCCATGACCTTCAGCAAGTCAGGGGTGCCCTTAGCGTTGTGAGCTTCCCCACGGCTTCCAAAGCCTCTAGCGCCTTGGCACAAACCCCCCACCTCCATCGTCTGGCGGGACGAAGCGATGCCCGATTTGGATGCGCGTTCGACGCAAGTGTTCGCGTTCTCCAGAAATTGTTAACCACCATACTGGCTTGGCTATATCATCGCCATCACCATCGCCATCAGACGTCATCCCTGGGGAGGAACTCCCATACGACATTCCAACATGGCGGACAACACCAACGATGAGGACTTGAAGTCCAACAAGCGCAGCCATGCAGAATTCACAGAAAATGATGGTTCCGGTGAGTGTTGCCCTATTTATTTTCCACAGCCACTGCTTCCTTTGCGCTTGCTAAAAGTGTCTTTCAGATAGCTCTTCAGACGATGACATGGGACCGCAGTTGCCGTCCGCCTCAGCGCCCAAAAAGAAGCGCCGTGTTCTGCCATACGAAAAGCTCTACATCTCAGCCCTCCCCAAGTCGACCCGTTACTCCAAGTCCCTGATGCACAAAGAGCAGTTGGCATTTCTCACCATGACACCTCTGACCGAGTTCCTCATAACATCGTCTGTGGATGGCGTAGTCAAGTTCTGGAAGAAGGTCGCCGACGGCATCGAGTTCGTGAAGGAGTTCAAGGCCCACCAGGGGGAGATCCGCTCTGTTTCGACCAGCGCAGATGGGAGGAGTTTTGCAACTGCCGGCCCCGACAAGACGGTGAAGCTGTTCGATGTCATGACATTTGATCTGTTAGCTGTTATCCAGCTAGAGTATGTGCCGCGGTGTGTATGCTGGGTTCACAAGAAAGGCGCTTCTCTTCCTCTGCTAGCCATATCCGATGATAGCCAAAAGCCTGGCATCCACATCTACGACGGACGGGGTGAAAACCTGACCCCTATTCATACCATCACCGGTCTTCACCGCAGCCCCGTCTCCCTGATGGCTTTCAACGACCATTACGACTGCGTAATATCGGTCGATGAGGGAGGCATGATTGAATACTGGCAGCCCGGAGGATCTTATCAAAAGCCTGACAACGTCTTTGAGTACAAGAGCTCAACGAATCTGTTTGACTTCAAGAAAGCAAAATCCATACCGACCTCGCTCACGCTATCGCCAGATGGGAGTCGCTTCGCCACAATATCCTTCCCTGACAGGAAAATCCGCCTCTTCGACTTTGCCTCAGCCAAGCTTCAACGCACCTATGATGAGTCCCTTCAGGTCATTGAGGAAATGCAACAAGCTGGAACAGCGATACAGAAGCTTGATCCAGTCGAGTTTGGTCGCCGGTTAGCAACGGAACGGGAAATCGAATCCCCAGCTCTCCGCGACAAATTCAACCTCATCTTCGATGAATCTGGTCACTTTCTCCTCTATGGCTCTTACCTGGGTGTCAAGGTGCTCAATACATTCACAAATAAAGTGGTAAAAGTGTACGGCCGGGAGGAACATTATCGTCCACTAGCACTGGCCCTCTACCAGGGTCAGCCTCAGAAGAAGGGGGTCACTACGATAGCCATGGCGGCATCCAGCAACCCGCTTCTTCAAGAATCCGAAACAAGGGATCCCATATTGATCACCACGGGCGTGGGCAAGGTCCGGTTTTACATGTTCACCAATGACGAGGAATTCTCCAAGTCAACCAGAGATGTTCAAAACGAGAAACCCACGATTCTAGGGGCAAAGAAGACGGAGCAAAAGAAGGTCGCCGAGACGGGCACATCGGCGGTCATCCACACCACATACGGTGATATTCATATTCGACTCTTCCCGGATGCAGCTCCCAAGGCCGTGGAGAACTTCGTGACGCATTCAAAACGCGGCTACTACAACAACACCATCTTCCATCGTGTGATTCGTAAGTTTATGATTCAGGGTGGTGACCCTCTGGGAGATGGAACCGGTGGTGAAAGTATCTGGGGGAGAGAGTTCGAGGATGAATTTAGCACATTGAAACACGACAAGCCATACACGGTTAGTATGGCGAATGCTGGCCCCAATACCAACGGGAGCCAGTTCTTTATTACCACTGAGAAAACAGTATGTTGTAATGCAACCCCTTTCTTTTGGCAAATTGGTACTGACTGAAGACAGCCATGGCTTGATAACAAGCACACGATATTTGGACGCGCCGTTCAAGGTCTTGATGTCATCCACAGGATCGAAAATGTCAAGACCTACAAAGAGAAACCAGCGGAGGACATCAAGATTGTCAATATTGACATTTCGTAGCACCATGGGCAGGAATGAGCCAGCGGCTGAATGAATGCGAATTGCCGATCGGCCCATGAGGAGCGGCACCTTTTGTATTCACCTGCCTAGAGCGATGTTTTGACATCACCGCCGTAGCTTATCTTTCTGAGCATGCTCCTGTTGAGCTCACCCACCGTTTGCACCCCGAGGAGTCCCATAGACTGGTCCACGTCAGCCAAAAGCGAAGCCAGCACATGCTTGGCTCCCTCTGTCCCTGCAATTCCAAGACCATATATCACCGGTCTGCCAACCAGGACCGCCTTTGCCCCCAAGGCCAGTGCTTTCAGAACATCCACCCCTGTACGGATTCCAGAGTCGAACATGACAGTCAAGCGGTCCCCCACGGCGTCTACAATTTCTGGGAGCATCTCCAAACTAGGCACCGCCCCATCCAGCTGCCTCCCTCCGTGATTGCTCACGATAATCCCGTCAACTCCACTTCTCGCCGCCAACACTGCATCCTCCACGCTCAGCACCCCCTTGAGCACAATCGGCCTGTCCCCCCACAATTTTCTCAAGGTGGCAAGGTCCTCCCACTTGTGCGCGTGCCCCGAGAAGACCTCCCCGGCCCAATACCGGCTCGCAGCAATGATGTTGTCCTCCACCTGGGCCTCGTTTTCGCCGGTGCTAAACTTGTCAGAAAACTTCTGCCGAAACACCGAGTCACTGAATCCGACGGCATTGCCCTCCCCGACGGCAAAGGGGAGGAACCCTGTGTCGAGGTCGAGGGGCCGCCAGCCCATGGTGAAGGTGTCCAGTGTTACGACCAAGACCTCACAGCCAGCTACCCGAGCTCGGGAGAGCAAAGAGGCGGTGATGTCATCGTCGACGGGCCAGTAGAGTTGGAACCACCTGGACGGCTTGGGATCAGGGACTAGGGTGGAAGCGGACGAGGTTGGCGGTCTGGCTGGTCCTGGGTCTTTTCCTTCTGCTGATGCTGATGCTGATGCTGCCGTTGCGGGATCATCCGCCGGCGCCGGTGGGGCGGGCTCTTCTGTTTCTGGTGAGGGCGGGCTGGGGCCTCCTGTGTCCTCTAGAGCCGCGACGATCTCCTCTAGGGGGGTGCTGGATGCGGTGCTGTAGATGAATGGGACGTTGAGGGCGGCGCAGGCTTTGGCGACGCCGGTTTCTGCGTCGGGGTGGTAGGCTGATTGCACGCCGATGGGGGCCATGAGGATGGGGGAGTCTGGTGTCTTTTGTTAGCTGATGTTGTTTTTCTTCTGCCTTGGCCTCATGAAAATCCCATCGCTGTGGTGTGTGAAGAATGAGAATACATACCATATGTCTTGCCAAACAGCTTCACACTTAGATTGCGAGGCAGTGTGTCTCTCAACATACGGGGTATGACCTTCCACTGCCGGAAAGCCAGCCGGTTGGCGTGCATCGTCGCTTGCTCGCCTGCCCCTCCGAACACATAGTTGAATCCCTGGGGGCTCATCGCCTCCCGGGCTTGCTGTTCAAGTTTGTCGGGATCGGTGGTGGTGACGGGCTTCTTCCCCGCCGTTAGGGCTTGAAAGTAAATGTCGATTTGGTACTGGCCATAGGGGATCTTGTTGCTGTTGCTGGCGACGACAGTGGTGGTGGTGTTGTCGTTGTTAGTAGGGGCGGTGGAGCGTGGTGTCTTATCTCTTATGTTAGCGTTCAGGTTGTTTAAGTTGGGTCTGTCGGCTTCGTCGCCGTTGCTAGATCTGGGACGGTTCATCTTGAATTGGGGCTGCAAAAACAAATTTGGGTATCACGAGTGCGCTTTTCAGTGTAAATGAACGGAGACATGAAGAGTAGAAAATGAAGCCGCCTTGACTTCCCCGCACAGCTAGCTACCCACTCGCTATTCTTTGAGATGCTAATGCCAATGGTGGTAAATTGTGGGGGCATTTGGAGTAGGATCAACATAGTCTACGGTGTCATACTCACACATCCAGAACTAATTCAGCATTAGTTTGCCACATCCTGTTGAAGAAATTGTCCTGATCGTTTTATTGTTATCATCGCTGCCCCTTTCGCAAGCGGTGCGAGAACGTCTGCTCTCTACCTGGGAATCAAAACGAACCAAACGCCAACCAACCAGATGCTCCCAACCCACACGTTGCATTACCTCTTACATCAATAGACCGCCAACTTGACAAAGCTCTGCGCTCAAAAACACATCCCTTATTGGATGTCATTTCTATCAGTCTCCCCTCATGGCTTGATAGACCAAAGCTCCCTCGACCTATGAACAGTTAGCATGAGACCTACAGATCGAAACACTGCGGGAAGCAGAACAGAGGAGAACATACCATCCAAGCTCGCGGTGTTTTTTGCTGCTCTTGCCTTTGCTCTCAGCCGTAGACACAGCCAGCGCCTTGCTGCATGCTGCAAAAGACTCTAGAAGCTCCTTCATCCTCCCAGACTTGATGAACTCCTGAGCTATGTTTGAGTCCTTCTCGGCAATCAGAGCAGCCAAGTCCATGCATTCCATGAAGTTGTCGCGCGAAACGGCGCCGCCGGCAAAATGGAGGGTGCTGATGTATGCGATAACTGTCTCGGGAATATAGGCCTCGCGGAGGTCCTGAAAGTCGTTGTCGACTTCATTGCTGACCATCAACCAGTTGTTCAGCACCGGCTGCATACAGTTCTTAACATTGCGCACGTCGCTAACGGCCTGAGTCCACATTTCGCGCGCAGGGGGGTGGGATGGACTATAGTGATCATAGTTAGCAAGGTCGGTGTTGCATCAATAGTAGACGTGGGCTGGGTACATACTCTCTGCTGAGACCAGCCATGGAAGCCAATGTCTCCATTGAGTCCAGTGCTCGGACGAGACATTCAAGTTCCCATAGGTTTCTGACAACATTCAGAAGCCTGTCTCTGCTGACGCCACACTCTTGAAGGAAGGCTTCACTGAAATCGTGATTAGCGACCTCATCAAACCACCCGTGGGCATCATCTTGGTTTTGGTCCACAAAGGTGATGAACGTCAACTTCTCCATGGCGATGTATCGCCCGGAAACACGGACGCTGAGGGCGCGGGCAGCACGCAAGTCGGCCCGTTCTACGGAGGGTTAATATCCATTTGCGCAACTGAAAATTAGTGGAGGAATAACTTACTCAAGAAGTACTTGTAAACCCGGATGGCGTAGGTGCATGTCTCCAAGAACAGCCCCGGGACCATTATGAGCCACTCCAGAGTGCGGATGAGTTCTTCGCTTTCTCCCTCCATGTCGTTGGAGTCATCCCCGATGAAATCCGGTCGAACAATTCTACCATATTTCAGCGTGGCCGGCCCCTCTTCCAGAATCTTGAAGTGACCCTTTACATCGCATCGAACCGACTTGTCGTTGACATCGTTCAGGTAGATAAGGGGCAACTTTCGACCAAACTCCTTTATGTCGACTCCCAACTTGGTCATGATGATCAGCTGGTGCTCACGGGGTTCATCGCCCACAATGTGAATGAGATTTCTGCCTAGCACCTCGTATAGACGGTCCTCGTGGAGTTTGGAGCAGTACAGGGGAACAAGCTCCTCAAGGTTGGCGAGTCGAAGGTAGCTGACGTAGGAGGTAAGAATGTTCTCCTGGGCGTGACGAATTGCCTTGTGGCCGCTTTCTTTCTTGGAGTCACTGAGCCTATCCAGGGTGTTGACGATGATGAGGACATGAGCCAATGTCCTCAACCCGTCGTAATCGCCCAGCCCAACGTACTTCTTTTCGTTGATGTGCTCCGAAATGGGGAAGTTGATCTCTGGGATCAGCTTTGACTTTGCCCTGGCATTCGCCTTCTTGGAAAGCACAACACCTTGATGGAATAGATACCGGCCCAGGTCGTTGGCAACAATGGCGGCTTGGAGCGACTTGGAAGTCCCCAGAGCCTCGTTGCTAGTCTTCGGATCGTTCTCCAAACTGGCCACGAGGCGCTTCGCAACTGTGACCGGCTCACCGTGGTAAACAACAGCGTTGAAGGCCGGAAAACGCGCAGCAATCTCTACCAAGTCCTTGCCGCCCTTCTTCATCAAGAAAATGTCGAACTGTGTCCTGAGAAGAGCGTTGTAGTGGGTGAAAAGCTTATCATCCCACGATTTGCACACCTTGTCAACGCTCTCAAGATCGCCAGCAAGAAGTCCATAGACGGCCCGATCGTATTCGCTTGTTCCCCCATCATGAGCAGCTGCATAGCACATCCTTCTCCAGAGCACGAGCGAGCCTGGCTCAAAGTCAAATTGTTCTTCATCTTGGGGATTTGAAAGTGGCAGCGGCGCGATTGTAGCTGCTCTCCACAGTTCCGTCCTCTCTGCGCACCAGTCCCGTATCTCAGACATGGAGTACCCCCGGCGTAGCATCTCAAAGCATCCCAGCCAGATGGCCCGCTCGAAGAACTCGTCCTGCGGCTCTAACTTTCGGCCTTGGCGTGTGACGGCGTCTGGATCGAGCTGGGTAACGAGAATATTTGAGCCAAGGTGGGATTGGGAAGTGGCAGCATTAGGGTCAAGCACACCCTGGTACCCATTGACACTCTTCTGTAGCTTGATCTTGTGGCGTGTATGAAGCCAGCCATGTGCCAGGATGTCGCCCCTCTCGGCGTTGTGCTGGAGCTCGCTGACAACCACATCGACTGGTGGTCCGTGAGTGGCGCTGTTCTGCAACCACTCCAACACGATCTTCCTCTCTCTGGCCACAGAGTCAGTGATCAGAAACTCCTCCCACCATTCTCTCCGCGACTGGGGCACCGGATTCCTGCCGTTCTTTTCCTCGACGAGCTCTGAATCTTGGTAACGGAAAGGCAGTATGCGCCGTAAGAGATCCCAGGTTTGTGCCTCCTCCTCTGCCCGTCGCACCTCCTCAGCGCTGACAGAAAAATGGCCTTCTTCAACTTCGTCCACATCCATATCCACCGAGCCTGGTCTTTGCCAAACAGCGCCCCGATTTCGTCCTCCCGCCTGACTTGCTTGCAACCTGTCTACTCTGTTCCGTGCATAGTTGTAGTAGGAATCGAGCAGTTTGAAGATTTGTTCGCGTTTCTCAGAGTTCGACCTGCCTCTCAGATCGGTGTTGTAGCGGTCCAGTTCAGCAGCGAAGAAATCGACGTCGTTCCCGACTCGGACGGTGCTATGGCGGTAGGTAGACTCGAGGTCGGTCATTTCGCGGTGTGACGGTTCTGCGCACTCAAGTTAGATGAAACACAGGAATTGCATCATGGAGAAGGGTTCTGACCTCGAAGTCGACTCTCCGAGCTAGCCCGGGAGCTTTCCTGGGAGATGGATGGAAAATTCTATCGAGCGGGTGCTGTCAGCAACGTTTCAACCAGCTCGAGATTGAACACATGGAATTGCTCACAAATCCAGGCGCCATGACGCCGATGGGATAATGAAGTTGAAATAATACAACGCAAGAGTCTCTGATTCACACAGTCTTGCCCAGTCTGCGAATGGCCGTGGCTTCGTCTTACTGTGGTCTGTTGGGAGCAGTGAGGTGGATCTTGCGCAAACAGTCTGAAAGTCTATTGCATCGTATGCTCAATGTTGGGCGTTGACTGAATTTTCTGTTCAGCGCCGGGGTCAATTGGTGGTTTCGGAGAGATTGGCGGCAGTAATGTGTTGGTAATCTACCTATCTCCCTGGAGGGTGGGTATCGATGGTGGTGGTCCTTTGAGCTGTTGGACGCGGTCGCGTCAATGCCGTTCGAAAAATCGGGCTTGAGAGCAGCGTCGAAGCCCTGGAGAGTGAGCTCCCCGGTTATTAGACTGCCAAGCTTCTTGAGCCAGACTCTCAGTATAAGCACGGACCGTACAGGGGCTCTAGCTTCGCGCTCGCCCTGGGCCCCACCCAACTCAGCGAACTAGAAAAAGCTTTTGCGATTAGAAAATTTTGGACTTTTCCTCTTTTCTTCTTCATGTCTTTGGCATTCGTCTTAGAGTCTCGGAACAAGGCCTCAGTTCTTGTTCAGGTCCACGCGGCCTCTCGCGCGCTCAACGATCGCCTAGAGTAAATATGCACTCTCCTCATAAGTTACCTGCACCTTCACAGGGCGTTCAGGTGGACGCATTGGATGTGTGATACATTTTGATATCTTGACCATTTGTATTATTGCTTCGCCTTCTCCCTCTGCTCCATCTTCAGCCTCAACAAGCTCGCCTTCGGGCAGCTAACCGTGGTTGCCTCGTCGCCGTTCTTTTTGTAGAATGCCTGGCAACATTCGTAGAGGGCATCGACATATCTTGTACACTTGGCTTCGTCAAATCCATTCCGCGTCAAACAATCTGTGATGCCTGTGAGCTACAATGGTTTACTGGGCCGTGAGCCTCAACTACACGTTACATAGCCTGCTCACTTTGTATGGCGCACTGGTTTTTAGTCAGCATATGTCCTCTTTCAACCACTCCCATGTGATGGGAGGGTCAGACGTACCGCGCGTGGGTGGCATGGAGGATCAGTTTGGAGATCTCTTTCAAGCGCCTGCAGTTTGGAACGTCAACATCCGCCTTTCTAGAATTTCGAGAGTAAGGCAGCCCGACCATCTTAAGAGATATGGCGCCGTGTTCGCAGGGCTATAAGGGTTTGGTATTCAAAGAACGCTTCAGGTGTTCGGGGTAGGGTTGCCAGTTTGGCGAACAGCATCAGCGTGGTTCCTAATCCTTAAGTAGAGTGGAAACAATGATGTCAGGATCCCTGTCATAAATCAAAGAGCCGCTAGCTGTCCGCTGTGAGACAGCGGACCATGGCACTTTGGGAACCGTATGTAGAGCCCCCAACTCGCCGATCCCTTCTGGATTATTGTACTGCTGGAGAGTTTTTCTGCTTGAATAAAAAGCCCCTACTAGGTAGGGTTGATGTTATGTCTTGCTTGGGCTTTCCTTCCCGCCCGTCAGTTAACCCCAAAACCTTAATTCAACTTGAGCCCCACCAAGCCTCTGCCTAGCTGCAACAACCGCCCCGCGCAAACGAACCGCCACATCCCACCTTTTGTCGCCAGCGTCAGTTCACAGTGCAGCTTTCCGATTACTTCCTCTCCTCCACAGTACTCATCTCCCCCTTCGTCCAAACCATCGATCACTGAAAGGTTCACATCCCCTAGGTGAATCCCAAATCGGCCGCGACACTCCGCTCAGGTACGTCGTAAGCGCTTCCTCTGCCCCTCCATCCCGTAGGCGACTTCGCGCCCAGGGCAGCTCCCGTTCCTCTCCAGGCACAGGCACAGGCACCCCTAGGCACGCGCGCTTCCCATCTCCCGAAGTCGCCCATTATCTGCAACTCGCCCCTCCGAGCAGCCTACTTCTCCTCCACTCACTTCCACACAATCCGAGTTGCCACAGCCCAACAAAGACATTTTTCGAATCAAGAAGGGCTAATTTCCCACGCTCACAGCTCACCTTCTCACCGACGACAACCAACCCCTCTCAAGAATTCGCAATGGCCGACGCTGCGGAGAACGGTTCCCCTGGCCAGGGCCCCGATGTCCCCCAGGGTGGCAGCGAGCACCTCAACATCAAGGTGACCGACAACAACAACGAGGTCTTCTTCAAGATCAAACGAAGCACCAAGCTGGAGAAGCTGATGACTGCCTTCTGCGAACGCCAGGGTAAGACCATCCAGTCGGTCAGGTTTCTCTTCGAAGGCCAGCGTGTCCAACCTTCCGACACCCCAGATACGGTATGTTTGTTTGCCCCTGGACGCTTCAGGCTTTTCATGCTCTTCGTCCATTGCAGTTATACTTGGGGCAGGGCAGTTCACTAATCGATTTGGTCTACGTTGGTTTTAGCTCGAAATGCAGGATGGGGACACTCTCGAGGTTCACCAGGAACAAGTCGGTGGTGGTGGTCTCTAGACATTCAAGAAAGCCTTTCTTCCCCGATCCTTTTGGGATTGTGGGGCACTGCAAACTGGGAAAATCGTCTGGACATGTCTTGACCTCATATAAGTGGGCGGTAGATTTCCATGATGAGTCAGCGGAGCGAAGGAGAGCATTGGCATTCATGGCTTAACAGTGGTCACAGTCGTTGGTGCACAGGCACAGTACCAATGAGGTGGGAACAAGTCAACATCGGATGGGATGGATGGTGTTATCTTGGGCGGCCCGGTCTTGATGAAGGCAGAGATGATTGTCATCTCTGGCTATTGCGATGTTCTTTTTGCCAGTGGAAGGATTCTGATTCTGGCGCATTTCGGGGCGTAGTACTATGACACAATTTACGGAAAGTCAACTTTGCAATAATTCTGATCTTTTTGCTGCTGATTTTGTGACTGCAAAGTTCTGCTTGTGCAGTACAACAATCGCCTTGCTCCTCCTGAATGTAAAAGTGAGAAAGAATTCATGTTGGCGATTTTGCAAAGTCAATAACGCCAGATCTAGGGACAGACTTTGATTTATTATGCCTTCCTCCGTTAAAACCCCAAGCCCCATTCCAACACAAAAATAGACAGGTAGATGCTTGACCCGCTCACTGTATTCAAGTAAGCCATGCAACAAAACAGCAAAAACACGATTCATCGGCCATGATCATCATGTAACCATAAAAGGGCACCCATCACACCCATGGATGCAATCAATCCTCAAGCCTTGAGCTCAGCCTCCATGCACCTGGTACACAGAACAACCGTCTCGCCCGGCGCTCCACGCCCCTCCTGGGGGAAAATCTGGCCGTCGTCAAACCCGCCGTGGCAGGAAGCGCAGCGGAAGCACTCGTCATGCCACTCGCCGCCCAGCGCCCGAATGTATTGTCCGATGACAGCCTTCCTGCAGGCGCGGCACTTGGGCGCCCTCCGCTCTGTGCGCTTCGTCTGGCAAGAGACACACCACGCATAGCCGTCCTTTTCGATGTGCGTCATGCCCTTTTCAAACGGATCACCGCACTCGGCGCAGAAAAAGTGACCAAAATGCCAGTGTGAGCCCAGCGCCACAACATGTTCACCCATGATGGGCGTTTTGCAGTGCTTGCACCTTGGTGCAAACAGTTCGTGCCAGTCGAGGTGGCAGAAGAAGCGCAAGCGTTCGTCGCCGTCCTCTGCTTCCGTCTCGCCCGGCTTTTCGGGGAGTATCTCGCCAGCAGCGCGGCGAGAGATGCGCTCGAGGCGCTGGGCACGATAGTGATCTGGCTCGGGAGAAATCTCCAGTGCCTCGAGGGAGGTCCCGCAGGAAAAGCAGGTGAAGCACTGCGGGTGGAATCGCTCTGAGCTACCTGCCAGTGAGACGAAGCGGCCCTCGATGAAGTGGCCGCACTCGTGGCAGCGAGCCGTCGCCCTGCTGCCCACGGGCCTAGGGTCAGGAGTCCAGTGTCCTCTAGGACGGGCTGCAGCCTGCCTGACACGAGGCGCTCCTGGTTGAGGAGTGGGGAGTGGCCGCCGCGAGCCGCCACTATTATTCGTACTCGCGCTGTCGTCCGGGGTCACGATCACGGGGATACTCGGACCGTCATCGGCATCGTCAGGCGCGATTACGATGGACGGAACTGGCGGGGCAGCGGGCGAGGAGGTGTCCGACACCAAAATCGAGGGAACAGCAGGCCCATCTACTTGAATAGTGGGCGGCGCTGGTTGTGGGCGGCGGAACGGCGAGCGGCGCGTAGGCGGCGATGGGGTCGGAGAATCATCCGAAACAGAAATAGAAGGGATCGGCGGCGCTTGCTGCTGGGCTTCTTTGGACTGCTTGGAGAGGATCCGGCCGGGGACGAGGCACACGGGATGCTGGGCTTCGATGCCTCGTCCGGACCTCGTCGAGTCTGACTTATCGTCAGTAGCCTCCTCATGGGGCTTCCAATTCTTATCAAAGCTTACGATTGGTCGCCCCGGAACGTCACTGACGGCAGATGGCGTGGGTAGCGCTGGACTACGGTCTTTGAGCTTCATAGTGGTGGCCTGCCGAATCTCGTCGCTCCGAACCTCGATACCGTGCTTTCGAGGCACGTCCTCACGCACCACAGGAGCTTGTGGGCGCGAGTTTGTGGTATAAGCAGGATTCCTCGATTGGGTTGGGGGGTTGCGATGAATCTCAAATCTATTGATGCGCTTTTGGGGGGACGGCGGAGACGTGACCGCAACCGATTGTGCCTCGGGAGCAAACTGCACACGGTTTAACGGGTTCTTTGGCTTTGACTGCAGGGCCTGAGCTTTCCCATCTTGTGGGAACGGATCTTCAGCACGCTCAGCTTCCTGGCTGTCGGGTTCTTCCCAGATCTGATCACCAGAAAAGGGCTTTTGGACTTCGCCACTGATGTTTCTCTTGAGGCTGCTTCGACGGCGCCCCGCTGGCCGAGGCCCTGCGGGAGCCGCGACTCCGTTGTACGTCTTTGCATTCTGAGCCTCAGCTGAACCCCCCCGCAACGAATCGAGACTTCCTCGCCCACTGTCGACCGGATGAGCCGAGGTGAAAGACGAACGACTTCTGATAGACGCAGGCCCATCTTCACCTTCGCTCGAGCTGCCGGAAACTGACGCAGAAGTAGAATTTCTCGCCAGTCCAGTTGGAGCAACATCATTGCCATACATGCCCACGCTCGCCGTACGTGCGTGCGCATAGCTGTCCTTGCGAAGGTGGGATTTGTATCGATAAGGGGTGCCCGGCTGAGGCACTTTGCCAGGATTCTGGTGCTGCCATACCAGCTCGGCAGCCTCGTCGAGAGCAGCGTTGTAAAGCCGCTTTTCATCCTCATCCTCGGCAACCGGCGCACCATCTTCCTTTACTTCCTCATCTTTGACTGTCATATCCTCCATAGCCTGCCGCAGCGAAAACGCCTCCTCCTTTTCCATCCATCTCTGACCCCGTTCGATATAGGTTGCACTTGGTACGACGTCTGACGGCTTCAACGGCTGGACCGGGCGGTTCGGGTAATAGTCTCTCCCCCGGGTTCCCGCTGAAAATCTTGATGATATACTGGCGGACATGGACGGCAGACTTGCGGAGGGCCCTATCCCGCTGACTTCTGAGTGGGGCCCTTGCTGCTGGCTGTCGTTGTGATGATGGTGGCGAAGTGACGATGTTTCGGAAGCTGGCATGGCTCCCACGGACGGGCGACTAGGGGGTAGCCCGGCTACATCTCGTTGCTTTGTGGGGGAGGTGGGAAGAGGACGAGCACCGCCGGGCCGGTTGATGCGGTTGTTGCGCAGGTCTGCCAGGTACGCGGCTACATATTTCATCAGCATCAGTTGCGGCGGCAGTCGCCAGATTGCATGCGCACATACCGAATTGCTCGTTCGACATGTACGAAGGTGACGGCGGCGTCACTTTCCGGGGAGAGCCCCGTTCCCTGGGCTTACTGTGTGCAAACATCAGTCCTCCTCCTGGGGCTGTAGGGGTTCGTTTCGGGGTGTTGTCGTCGAGGTAAGGATAAAACTATTGTGATCGTAGTAGCTGTAGCTGCGGTGCTGTGTCCAGTGTAGTGTAGATGGTCTCGGAAACCAGGTGGAGAGGGCAGGCATCAAGACGTCAGGTGAATTTATGCTCGGGACTACAATAGCTGGTTGTTTATCATATACAGCGGCGGTGTTTCAACGAGGTTGCTAGGCAGGGCGGCGGGTGCGCCGGTGAGCCAGGGATGTCGGCGGATTGGAGGTGAGTCAAGAACGGGGGAGGGCGGGAAAGGGCGAGAAAAGGGCTGGTCGAAGCACCTAGAGTTGCAGTCTGGAGCTGTGAACAACAGAGATGCACCGAGATTTCGGCCCTGCCATTGGACCACGCAATGTGACAAACAACGGGGGTTCCCCAGGCGACCATCCACTTTCGGCAAGCGCTAGAACCTGGAAGATGCCGCGACCAAGAGTGCGTGCAGCCGGTACGTACCTGGTTCAAGGTTGGCGATTGGCGGCTGAAAGTTTAGAAACAAAAATCACGCGAAACAGGGATTTCCTAGAAGCCTTTTCAGCCTTGCCTGCTGTCAAGAAATATGATGCGAATGGCGTCAGGGCGCCAGACAGAAGTGGCCGACTTGGCCTGCAGTGGACACATCTGTCATTGCCCAACAGCAGTCCACGGTTGCAGAGATGCAAGAGAGCACATGCTGGTGCTACTGCATGTTGGCAAGCAAGCACCGACAGCCGGGCTCTCCCGCCTCCCCCGCACCACTTATTCCCGACTGAGGTGGTGTTGGAATCTGGATTCTTCAGTAGCTTTGTTTCTTGGAGCCCAGCTTCTGCCCAATCCGCACTGATGACTCTCTCTACCTTGAATACCTCATCGGAACCGCCAGTCTAGTGTACATACATGAAGCTTCTCTTCTGACGTTAGCTCTACCAGGCTTGGCATCTCTTGCCATGCCAGAGTCCAGACTGACCACCCTGGTGGATGTGGGTGTCATTGAAGAGATCCGCTTTGCCGAGGCGGGTTGGGACTGTCCAGGATCAAATCCATCGACCTTTGTCAGGTGGAGAGCAGGTAACAGGGTGCCCGTCCTCGGCCGAGTCCCAGGCATTCTCCCATGTATTATTGACTAAGACGTATCGAGTCGGTATGGTGATATCTTTTTTTTTCCGCAGTTTGTCATCCTTATTCCCATCCTAGGCCGGTGACAGGCCTTGCGGATATCTTACCCGGTCTGTTGTTGATCGGGCATGAGGGGTCGCTCCTAGTTTCGTCTTCTTTTTATTGATTTAGTTTTGTTGCTGGTACTGTCTTTGAACTATCCACAACTTTTAGCGATTATTAATTGCCATGAACTGGATGCGTTTCCAATAATCTCTTGGTTTTTTTCTCGCTCGCTTTTTAAACCCTTCCCCAAGCCTTCGCAATGATCCCGAGTTCGCCTGTCCCAGGCAGGTTGCCGGGCACGTCAGCCCCTGAGACTGGGCTGGTCGATGTTGAGGGAACCACGAGATCTGGAAAGGAAGAGATAACAGGGGAAAGTGACTCTTCCGAAGTGAAAGAATTCAAGGAAGGTGGATATGGCTGGTTAGTTTGCTAGCACTCTCCCATCAGTCTTCCTGCCAATCTGACAATGTATTCTCTAGGATGGTTGTCTTCTCAGTCGCCTTGGTCAACGCTCATACATGGGGCCTAAACTCATCATATGCCGTGTTTCTTGCCTATTACTTGCGCTCTGGAGATATCGCTGGCTCTTCACCGCTTGCCTTTGCTTTTGTTGGCGGTCTCTCAATCTCGATCTGTGAGTCCATCCACACAGCAGCTCGCTTACCCAGGTTGCTTTTGACTGACACCTGTCACTCTTTTCAGCGCTGCTCGTCTCTCCACTGGTGACATGGTGTATAGGGAGGTTTGGAACCATACCTACGTTTCGGATAGGGGTTGTGTTCGAAGCGTGAGTCGGATCACTCTGATATCCAGCAATGCCTCCATGCTAACTCTCATCAAGCATCTCATTTGTGGGAGCTTCCTTTTCGACTCACATATATCACCTAATCCTAAGCCAAGGAGTGTGTTTTGGAATTGGTTTGGGGTTTTGTTTTACAGCAACAGTCGGTGTAGTGCCCCAGTGGTTTGTTAAGCGACGTTCCTTTGCCAACGCTGTGGCGACATCTGGCTCTGGATTTGGTGGCCTCACATACTCCTTGGCCACCAATGCCATGATAACCAACCTGGGGCTGCCATGGGCTTTCAGAATCCTCGCCATTGTGGCGTTTGTGGTCAACGGTGGGTGCAGCTTGATCCTCCGTGATCGCAACAAGGCGGTCGGGGCGAAGCATGTGCCCTTCCATCTGGATCTCTTCAAACTACCTGAATATTGGCTATTCTTGGGTTGGGGCTTCTTTTCTCTCATGAGTTATGTCATTGTTGTATTTTCCATCACGGACTATGCTCAACAAGTTGGCTTCAGTGCCAGCCAGGGTTCCCTGGCTGCCGCCATCTTCAACTGTAAGTGGGCCACTTCTCTTCTCTTGCTCAAACAACTGTGCATACATACAAGATGCTAATTCATTTGGGGCTGGCAGTATCGCAAGGCATTGGAAGACCTCTCATTGGATTCGCCAGTGACCATGTTGGGAGACTCAACGTCGCTGGCCTCGGGACGCTCACCGCCGGCGTGGTTGCTTTCTTCTTGTGGGTCTTCGCCGGGAAGTCGTACCCAGGGTTGATCATATACGCCCTGTTCGGGGCGTTTGCCGGCATCATCTGGCCTTGTGTGGCTCCCGTTGGAGCTGAGGTGGTCGGTCTCTCACTACTACCTGCTGCTCTTTCAATTTATTGGCTTGTTCTCGTTCTTCCAGCCACCTTGTAAGCTTCCATTCACTTGGCCATGCATTTCTGCCCCACAGTGACTGACGCAAATCGCTGAACAGTGCCGAAGTGATTGGTCTGATGCTGAGAACATCTGGCGTTGATGGATACCTGAATGTCCAGATTTTCACGGGGGTCATGTATATTGCCTCTTTCGTGTCCAGTACGTTCCTTTTTTCTTCAAACCTGTCTGCATTGTCACAATACATTCTAATTGCACGCGTTCTTTCATAGTCTGGCTTCTGAGGAGTTGGAAACTTCAACAAATGGAAATTTTGGGAACAATGGATGATCCGCTGGCGGTCGAGGCGCCCAATGCTGTCCAGTCGGGGGCAAAATCATCTGAAAACGGGCGTCCACGTTCGTACATCATGAATATGTTTGTTTTCAGGCATGTATAGCAAGCAACGAGTACAAAATAGCTTCAGAATAATATTGGGAGGTCTGCGAATACAACCAACGGGCCCTGCGATACTACTTATAGGCCTTCCGAGGTGATCCGTCGATGTTAAAAGTTGTCAATGTCTTCTGACAAACCTATTGGATGCCTTGGAATGTGTCGATCTAACTTGACATCTCTATCATCTTGTCCACAATGTGTACCCCCAGCTACAAAACTATTACACCACCCAACGAATGAGAAGCTGTCCCACACAACTGGCTTTTCTTCCCTTCATCTTCATCTTCACCTTCTAAGCACTTGATAGCTCTATCGCCTTCGCCTTAGCCGCCTCGAAATCGTCAAAGGCGTAAAGCGGGAGGCCACTTTCCTCGATGAGTTTCTGTCCCTCCTTCTCGTTGGTCCCTCGAATCCGTACCACGACGGGCACGCGTGGCGAGAGCTCCTTGAAAGCCATTATGATGCCGTTGGCGATCATGTCCCCCAAAGTCAGCCCGCCAAAAATATTCACAAATATCACCCGGACCCTTGGATCTTTCAAGATAACCTCGAAGCCGTGCTTGACCGTCTCGCTAGTTGCTTTCCCGCCAGTATCGAGAAAATTAGTTGCGTGGCCCCCCAGGGCATCGACCGTGTTCATGGCGAGCCCTGCGCCATTGACCAAGGTTCCGATGGTCCCGTTACCCTCCAATTTGATGTATATAATGCCACTCTTTTCCGCCTCGAGCTCAGAGGCATCCTCCACGGCTGTGTTTCTCAATTTCTGCAACTCGGTCTGCCGTCCGCAGCTTCGATAGGCTGCGTCGTCAAAGCCGAAGCGAGCACCAACCACCTTGATCTCACCAAGACGTTCCACAATCTCTGTCTCCATCAGATATGCCTCCTTTTCGTAAAATATGTCTGATAGTCTGTGGACAAGACGGCGGAGAGATTCATGGGCACTTTCCTTGAGACTGATGTGCAGGCGACTGGCAACACGCTCAATGGCAAGCTCGTCTGGACCGTGGCGATAGTCGAAGGAGTAACGTTTTACCATCTTCTCGATCTGATCGTCATCCACGGTAGGAGCCGCAAGAATACACGGTGATCTGGTCGAACGATCGACCCCTATGGCTAAGAAGCGCCTAGTGCCTAGCCCCGAGTAATGGCCGCAGTTAAGGCCTGCTTCGCGCAGCAGATCCATACAGTCGTCCTCGGACAATGTCAGGTGGCGCCGTTGCTGTGTGCACGGCTTTGCTAGAAACCGAGTCCTCGTTTGAGGTCTACGGACAGCCGTGTGGATCTGTCTACGCTGGTTTCCCAATTTGCCGCGACCAGCTGGGGAGTTCACCCCGTGTGTAGACCCTCCCAATCTTGCCTTGAAAGCTTCACCAAACTGACCTGGGTGTGTCACCATTGTCACACCAGCAGACACCAGCGCTTCTATCTTCTCCTTCGCATCAGGTTCCCCAGCGATAGTGAAAGCTCCGGCATGACCCATGATACGACCGCGTGGCTCGTGAATCCCAGCGATAAGCCCGACTATTGGCCTATGGTTGAGCTGTTAGCTGACACAACCTGTGTAACGGCCATAATAAACCTACTTTGGAGTTTGTGTGCGAGAATGATAGTCTCGAATCCTATCCAGCGAGGTCGTTGTCAGCACACGAACACGGAATAGAAATGAAGGATTGGAAAAACAAGTCGGAATAATACCATTCGGCAGCATCCAGCTCACCCAAACCGCCGATTTCCCCGATTACAGCAATAGCCTCCGTATCACTGTCATTTTCTAAGACAGTGAAAGCCTCCCTCAGGTCTGTACCGGGAACAATGTCACCGCCCACGCCTATACAAAGGCTCTGCCCAAGACCAGCTCTCGTGGTTGACGCCACAGTTTCATAGCTCAGCGTACCTGATTTAGCAATGATTCCAATCTTCCCTGGCGAGAAGCAAGGCAAGGGCTGGAATCCTGGGACAATGTGACGTTAGTTCTCAGTACAGTAAGTGTGGATGTTGATATGGGCCATATGCACACCGATTCGACACTTTCCCACGGCGGAGATGATCCCTGGGGAGTTTGGACCGACCAGGCGAGACTTGGATTGAGTCTTTAAGATAGAATGAATCTTTGAATGTCAGCATATTGGTTTTGGGATTTTCAGCAGTGGCGGCTCGCTTACTCGAAGCATGTCGTGCAGAGGAATATGCTCTGCTACTGCCACGATCAAAGGAACCTCGGCTTCAATGGCCTCCTCGATAGCACCTGGGGCCTGATGAGCTGCTACATAGATCGCTGTTGCATCTGGTTTGAGTTCTTTCATGGCCTATCAGCTAGGTTAGCAGGGACTTGGGTGAGAGCACAGGCAGAGCACACAGACTGACTGAACCGTGGGGAGCACCGGAAGCCCGAGATGTTCTCCGGTCCGGCCGGGCCTCACGCCTCCAACAATGTTGGTCCCCCAAGCGATCGAGTCTTTGGCATTTGCTGTTGCCTGCTTGCCCGTGAAGCCTTGGAACATGACACGGGTGTGTGCTCCTATACGGAGATTGGGAAGAGTGTCGGCATAGCTCTGCAGTCTCACTGTTGTTCCAAAGTTTCGGCGCAGGGCTTGCTGCCGCGGCACGACGAATCGGGGCCCATATCGGATAGGCTGAACAACACGCATTTTTTGGGGGATAAAGGGTTTCTAAGTATTTCAGAGTGGTGATGGTGTATATGGGAGACAAACTCCCGGACAGGTAATACTGAATGTGAGCGCCAGCGCCTGTTGGCCGATCATATCCCACGATCAAGCCGAGGTATTTGGGTGTCGAAAAGAGGGACCGGTACCAGTCGAGCATCGACGAACAAGATGCGTAAGTCGACTTACAGCCCAGAGCAACCATGTGGACGTCCCCAGACCCCGCAAACTAGCCCCTGTCGAAAACGGCCGCATGGCATGGTGGGGTCATGCACATGTCATAACAAAATCACCACTGAAGCTCGCCCTTGACGCCGTTGGTGTTGGCCCCAGCCTGGCTGGGAGTTTTGTCCTCCTTAAACCCCAGGTTTTTGAAGTCGTCTTTTGCCATCAAATTACTACAAGTCCAGAACCGTCAGCTTCCCAAAACAAGTACTGCCATCGCATCTTTGGCGGTTGAGGAGTGACGAACTGGTCCATCCGACACCCAAGATATGACTTGGCCAGTTGCCGGCATTCGTCCTGGTTGACGCCTTTGACCTTCTTGATACAGCTTAGGTAACTCATCATGACATCTTTGCACTCTCCTACAAGTACGAGCGGCCATGAGTAAGACATATGGCAAACCATCGATCGGTCATGAAGTTGGACTAAACATACCGTCATGATCAAGGGGAAAACTCCCTCTTTGTGGTCTTGTGACAGGGGCGTAATGTCAGTGTCGATTGTAAAATTATAAAACAGTGCTACTCACGGGGTGGGCTTGGTATTTGGGAGAGCCCCAGGGCTTCCGAAGGTACTCATAGTGACTGGTGAAAGGCAAGTGTCTGAGAGGTTGTTCGAGGCAGCTGCGTACAGAAAAGCCTGCTATCGAATTGTTATTCTGGTTGAGATGGTTGGTCATTTACACTACCTATAGTTCATGAAGTGTCTGTTGCCGGCTGATCGAACCTGGTAACTCAACTGGGTGCCGGCCCGACTGCGGGATTACCTAAAGTTAGGTACTGGCAGCCACACCTAAGAACCCAGCCACACTCACACTCGAGGTAGCAGGTGAGGTAGCAAGTGTAGCCTCAGGCATTACCGGCGGCGGCCAGAAAAGCCCAAAGTCTTGTTTTCCTCACTGTTCTTCGCCAAGGCCAGCGCACCTTGTTCGCGGTGGGTCAGCCTGTGACGACGCGCTTGTCCGTATCGGTAATGTGCACCACTTCGCACAAGCACTTCAACCTCCAACTTTTTTGTGGCTACCCACTTGAACGGCCAAGTCCCGAATCGCCCCAATTTAATCCGCAGCTACGGAGTAGATTTTTGGCATCCACCCGCACCTTGGGCATGAACAGAGGGCATCCCTCGTCTCTCTCGAGCTGCTAACGGCCAGGCGAAACAAACCCCCCTTCCTGTCTCTCCTTGTCAGTCTTTTTTCTCCCAAGAGCCGCGACCAGGCGTCCGCTGCTCCCTTTCTTTCCCTCATCAACGACTGACGATTTGCCCTTCAGCCAGCAGTGCGAGCATTGCGTCCCACCTGCTCAACCCATCACACACACCACCACCACCCACCACCCACCACCCACCACCATCACCGCCCGCCACCTCAACTGGATCCTCGCTCGCTTTTCTCGCTCGCCCTGCTACCAGTAGCGCAGCTCCCGGTCCTTCACTGGCCCGCCCAACCGACCTAGCCATCTCTCCTAGATCACCACTTCAAGTTTCTTGTGGCCCTGCACAGAAAATCGCTATCATGGCCGCTCTCGGCGACGACCTATTGGCGACTGTGAACAAGTTGCAGGACCTGGTCTTCAACACCATTGGAAATGACTCTCTCGATCTGCCCCAGATTGTATGTCCTGGTCCAGGCCTTTCTAGAGGTGGACAATGCTAACTGTATTCTCCTCGCCGTAGGTTGTCGTCGGCTCACAATCTGCGGGAAAATCCTCTGTGCTCGAAAACATCGTTGGGCGAGACTTCCTTCCTAGAGGTAGTGGCATTGTGACTCGCAGGCCCCTGATTCTGCAGCTGATCAACGTCCCCAGCGAGGATGAGGCCGAGGACCCCCTTGCCGCTAGCTACCGGAATCCCAACCAAGCTCTCCGGAATGAGTGGGCAGAGTTCCACCATATTCCCAACCGGAGGTTCACCGACTTTGGGGATGTGAAGCGGGAAATTGAAAATGAGACGGCGAGAGTTGCAGGAAGCAACAAGGGCATCAACCGCCAGCCCATCAACCTGAAAATCTACTCTCCTCACGTCCTGAACCTCACGCTCGTTGACTTGCCAGGACTGACAAAGGTCGGTAACCGTGCTCATGACCTTGCTCTGTCGCGTGTCCTAACTGCTACACTCTAGGTTCCCATCGGCGATCAACCTACCGACATTGAGAAGCAGACTCGAAACCTCATCTCAGAGTACATTGCCAAGCCAAACAGCATTATTTTGGCCGTGTCCCCGGCAAACGTTGACATTGTCAACTCGGAGGCTCTAAAGCTCGCAAGGCATGTCGACGCCCTCGGGAGGAGAACGATTGGCGTTCTTACCAAGGTCGATTTGATGGACCACGGCACAAATGCGCTTGATATTCTTTCCGGCCGTGTGTATCCTCTGAAGCTGGGCTGGATCGGAGTCGTCAATCGGTCGCAGCAAGACATCCAAGGTAACAAGCCCATGGAGGAGGCATTGAAGTCAGAGATGGAATTTTTCAGGCACCATCCCGCATATCGGAACATTGCGACCCGCTGCGGCACCCAATTTCTGGCCAAAACTCTTAACACGACCCTCATGGCACACATCCGCGACAGGCTTCCCGACATCAAGGCTCGCCTCAACACTCTTATGGGACAGACTCAACAGGAGCTCGCCAGTTATGGAGACATGCATTTCAGCGGCAAAGAGCATCGAGGCTCGCTCATCTTGACCCAGATGACACGCTTTGCGACATCGTTCATATCCTCCATTGATGGTACTTCTACCGAAATTTCGACCAAGGAGCTCTGTGGTGGCGCCCGTATCTATTACATATTTAACTCGGTGTTTGGAAGCTCACTGGAATCGATCGACCCCACGTCGAATCTTTCTGCGCACGACATTCGGACGGCGATCCGCAACTCTACCGGCCCTCGGCCCAGCCTGTTTGTCCCTGAAATGGCCTTTGACCTGCTTGTGAAGCCGCAGATCAAGCTTCTCGAATCCCCAAGTCAACGATGCGTTGAGCTCGTTTACGAGGAGCTCATCAAGATCTGCCACACATGTGGATCCAACGAGCTTTCCCGCTTCCCCAGGCTTCAAGCTAAACTGATTGAGGTTGTGTCTGACCTTCTCCGGGAGAGGCTCGGTCCGGCATCGACATATGTAGAATCCCTGATTTCCATTCAGCGAGCGTACATCAACACGAACCACCCCAACTTCCTTGGCGCCGCCGCGGCCATGAGTCACGTTGTTAGCAACAAGCAAGAGCGGGAGAGAAAGCGCCTGATTCAAGAAGAGCGGGAGAGAAGAGAACGGAGGCGGCTAAAGGAGCTCGGCGCCAACGGCGCGGACACTCCCGCTGAGGAGGAGGAGGACAAGGGGACGCCAGAAAAAGAATCCATCGCGATACGAAAGGCGGCTGCCAAGAACGTCCGTAGCCTTTCACCTGCGGTACGCGAATCTGCATCAGGCGGTCTTGCTGCTGCGCTTAACGGAGGTCGCTCGGACTCTCCTGCCCGGTTGAACGGACAAGGGTTAGGCAACGCGAAAGATTCGTTCCTTAACTACTTCTTTGGTAAGGATGGCGCCATTGTGCCGGGAGCACCACCTCCTCACTCACAAATGGGCCGCCATATCAACCAAATGTCGGAGCCTACCTTTAGCCAGAGCATGAGGCGGCAAGAAGAGAAGCCGATGCGATCTCCCATGATGCCGCTCAGAAGTGACGATAATCTCGACTTTACGTCCAAGACCACCGAAACTGTAAGTTGTCTGAACCTGTTGCCCCATAAGCTATCCTGTAGCTGTGCCCTGACTCAATGATTGCAGGCCGATGGTAGCAGCGATCCAGCCATGACGGACCGCGAAGCTATGGAAGCGGAGCTTATTCGGGCGCTAATCAGCTCCTACTTTAACATTGTTCGTGAGAGCATTGCGGACCAGGTGCCCAAAGCCATCATGCACTTGCTCGTTAACCACTGCAAGGACGTGGTTCAGAACCGCCTGGTGAGCGAGCTGTACAAGGAGTCGATGTTCGAAGAGCTCCTGTACGAGGATGATGCCGTCAAGAAGGAGCGTGAGAAGTGCGAGAAGCTGCTCCAGACCTACCGCGAGGCGGCCAAGATCATCGGCGAAGTCGTATAGTCCCAGTATATTCGGGGGTCAAGGGGGAAAAGGGTGGCTAGTTGGGCAAGTGGATGGATGTCTATACGATGGAAATGAACGGGTTTGGGTCTTTCGATTTTGCATGAATTCTTCTAGACGGGTTCTTTCTTCCCCCACGAAAACCCAGTACACAAGGCAACTAACTCGGTTCGGGTGGTCAAGCGAAAATTAGTCATGGTTTTGTGTAGAGTTGAGATGGAAGGGGGTGAACTAGGCCATTTTAGCTATTGCCTCTCCGCCATCATGTGTACATAGGGGCCGATCAAAACTACTACTTCTCAACGGTGTTTAAACATGGCAGCCTCACTCACATGTGACGTGCATGCGGGACGAAAAAGCTTATCTAATAAATGAGTGCACGCACCCAGTCCTTTGTTGGAACTTTGGACCCGACGCGTTCCAGACCCACTCCCACTCGGCAGCTTCCATCCATCCCTTCCATCCAATTCAATCCATACTTAAACATTTTCGGCTTTGGCAAGGCTGTCAACCATCTCATCCATTGCACTCACTCACTCACTCACCGCAACACCATCACCACGTCTCTGACCAACGCTCACCAGCCCTCGGCTCTGCTGACTCCCGTCCGCCCGTCCGTCGGTTCTATTCTCTCCCACCAGACACGCTCCATCTTTCCGCACCTGGTGCCCTCGTTACGCGGTTTGACTTGGGACATTTCTGGCTCTTTCCTGCCTGCCTATTAATCACAGCCAGCTCCGTCCGTCTAGCGACGCTCAAGATGCTGGGCTCTCCAACAGATCAACTGCACTGGTAGCCGAGTTTTTCTGGTTGCCCGTGGTGGGCTCCTATCCTCTGCATAGGAGCCGTCCGTCTTATACAGGCAACGACGCCATCTTCTTCAACGTCGTTGTCAGTCTACCAACTCCCCCTTCACTCCATCATCCTATTTCTCCCTGCCCCCCCACCTCCCCCCCCCCTCCCCACTCTGCAGCACCGGACAAGTGTTTCCATTCTCCTTTCTGTCGCCACCAATTTGGTGCGACGTTGTTCTTCTCGTTTCTCAAATGGCCTCGGATGGTTTACATGGAGCTGGCCATCCAATGGCTTCTCGAGGCCCGGAGCTCCCAAACGCTGAGGCGCCCGTGTTGACAAGGAAACGCAAGTCATCTGGGCTCGAAGCAAAGTCCGATGCATCTACGGAAGTTTCATCTCAAGAGACGAACAAGAAGGTCAAGGTGGACAATGACTGCGCCGAAAGGAAATCTGTTGCGGTGCCCATACCGGTGGATCGGTCTGCTCTTCCCCCAGAGATTTGGCATCGGATATTTACCTTCTGTCCACCAAGGTCATTGGGTAACTTGTTGTCTGTCAACAAACTCTTCAACCTATATCTTGACCCAAGTTCGAAGGTTAGCAAAGACGCTCCCGCTTCTAGCAGCAGCGGTGCTGTTGCACAAATCAAGGCCAACAGTATCTGGCAGGTTTCCAGACGGCTCTTTTGGCCTTATATGCCCTCCCCATTGCGCTCCAAGACAGAACTCGAGATGTGGCGGCTTGCTTGCTCTCATAGGTGTCATTACTGTGGAAAACTGGATCCGCGGAAACAGACTACCATGCTTGATCCTCATCTTCGAGGTCCCGGAGAAAACGGGGTAGCTACCATCTGGCCATTTGAGACTTGTATGTGTGCAGCGTGTCTCTTGAAGCACACCATCAAGGTACGATCATTCCGCGCCTCTTCTCTGGAGAACCTTCAGTTTGACACCGGAAAACAGGAGCTCGATTTAGATCTCTCACCCACTATCCCTTCCTCAGTTGTACCCGCGCTCTCTTTCGTGTACCTCACAAGCGACCTTCAGGTCCTCCCGGCTACTACTTTTGAACAAGGTCAGCTTCCTGTCGAAACACAGATCACCAAACGGTTCCTTTCCTCCGAGGTTCAAGCACTGGAACGTGAACTTCTAGAGGTCAGAGAAATGGGCCCGGGGACGGTGACAGAATGGTTGAAGGGACTTCCAGCGCGCGGTAGCGGCATCCGACAAGAAGTCTTGAAGTGGGAGAAATGGGAAAGTCTCGGTGGGCTTGCAAAAATGTGCTCGCAGCTTTACCCTGGCTACGTGAAAGACGTTGTGAGCACTCTGCCTGCCTCCACGACGCACGCGCCATCTTCTGATTCTTCATCTTCGATGCTGCCAAATCAACCATCCTCGGCTGCCACCCGCCAGCAGTTTCCCCATATCCGTCATGAACGCACCGCGGCTGAGGTTGCTGAGCTCAAGGCAGCGCGGAGAGCCGAGATTGAGCGACGTGCGCTGCTTCTTGAGCCCCCCTTGGGCCCAAACGTACTCCGGCACATCCCATCATTCCAAGCAGCTATGCAGATTCCTCATCCTCCTTTTGACGATAAAGCCTGGGAAGTCCTCAAGCCGCGGCTCTTGGCTCAACGAGCTGACGCTGAACAGCGAGAACGAGAGAACGCAGCCGCCATTCAGGCCAAGCAAGACTCACATCTTGAAACGACTCTTGCTAGCACAAAAGAAGCCCGGGATCTGATCGACAAGGCTTGGGAAGATCAACAAGGGCCTCTTCGAGAACGCATCGCCGGTTACGCAGATGAGATAATCAGAGACGGGTGGAACAATGGCAAGGTCACCAAGGAAACATGTGCCAGGTTTGCGGTTGAGGCACTTGGCTACGTGCGTAAACGATTCTACGCTGAAATTGCCAAGGATGTCGATGCTGCAAGGTCTGCCGGTCAAACACCGCCCGTTGATCCTCTAGAGGGTCCCTTCACGCAGAAGCTCACACTGGAGAATATGAAATGGATTTTCGATACGAAAATCAAGCCCATCACAGAACGCTACCACAAGGAACTGTTTTATTGCAATGGCTGCGAGGGGATCACCAAGACATTCGGGTTTGAAGGTGTTATACAACATTTCGCCGCAAAGCATACAAGCGCTCTCAGTTCGGGCAACATCGTTGTCTACTGGAGAGCAGAATGGCCGGAACATCCTCCATTTGCGGCAGAGATCCGACAGGTTCGCCATCAGCCTTTCTTTGCGCCCACCCAACCTGTTTTCCCCGCCACTGGTCCTCCATCGTTCCCAGTCGGCCACAGCTACCCTCCAGCACCACTTGCACCTAATCATTTGCCAACATACCCACGGGGCCCATATGGGTATGGAAATTCAGCCTACAATGACCCTTATCAGCCGCCGCCGTACCCCTTACAGCCACATCAGATCGTGTCTTCCTATCCGTCTCAGCCTGGGTATGAGCACCACCAGTCTTACCCAGCGCCATCTGATCCATACCCGCCTTACCAGCCGCCTGTGGGTCAATACCCCCCAGGCCCTGCTTCAGCTACCGATCCATCTCATCATTACCCGCAACAGCCTCCCCAAGGCAACCCTTACGACCATGGTTACCCACCATATCCAGTCGCCCATCTTTACCTTCCTTCGGCAACACCACACCCTGATATGCACAGAGCAAAACTTGAGGATATAGCCCGGAATTCGCGGGAGGTCTGGCAAGAACTGGGCAACATACGAGGACTTCCTGGCAGTGTACGCGTCTTTGTGACAATTCATCATTTGGTCAAGAGATTCCACTCTAAATTTTACGAACCGCCCGCGCTCGCGATTTTTATCGAGGGGCTCTCGAACAACAAAGACATGCGTCCTGTTCGAAACGTGAACGACCTGATCTGCAAGGCTTGTCATCTTGGACTTGGTAACGCTGCCACGGTAGAGCAAGACAGAAAGAGCTTCTCGCTGCCCCAGTTAACAAATCACTTCCAATCCAAGCACGTCAAGCCTTTGCAGAGTGCGCATGCGCCTCCGATGGATTGGACGTTGGACATGGTGTTCTTACCGGAGCTAGCTCCGATATCGAATCTGCACTCTGCAATGTCAGAGGTGCAAAAGCGACTGATAGTCGAAGCTTTGCCAGGGATCTTTGAACAGCAGGGTCCGAAGCTTGTGCCTGCCGATGTTTATTACGGACAGCCAGCAAGTTCCTCTTCTGTGTATCCGGCCGCCCAGGAAGTCCACAGTGCCTTGCGGACCAACTCACCACAGGTCTTGTCGGCTGGTGCATATGGTAACACGGCCCCGTCTTATAGTCATTCCGGAAATCCCTCCAATGATGTTCCAGCTATCACAACCCCTGCTGCAGCGTCTGAAAAAGCCTCGGGGCATCCCAGTGAGGGTGGCGGGCACGCCTCACAGGGGTCTCGACCTGCCAACCGACGCCAAAACGGGCTTCAAAATGGAAAGAAAGCATCTGGCAAGAACAAGCGCAAGAGAAACCAGGACGGGAATCCTTCTGGTGGGCGCAGGGCCGGGAGGCAGTTTAGAAGGGATGAGTCCAGTACCCGGCGCAGAAGCACCAGCGATAATCCTGGCACTTCCTCGTCGAACAGAGTGGACAGAGCTCCAGTATCGATTACTTCTTTTGGAGGCTCGTCAGGCCAGGATCGCACCACGGTGGGCAAAGATGCTACCAACCTTTTAGCGGCTTTGGAGTCACATCTCACCCAGGCGCCGCGTGGGCCCGTGTATCACAAGAATGGGACTGCTCCCGCAGCTGGGGAAACTCTTCATAACGCCGTGCAGCCCCATGCCCGGCAGAGTGGGGATGAAGATCAGCATCGCTATTTCGAGCCATCCACTCGGCAGAGGATCTCAGTTGATAAGCGGGTCGAACAGCAGTCCTCTTATCATTCAAGAATAGAAGTCGAACGGCCCGATCACTGCTACCCAACAACTTCGGACGCAATCAGACCTTCCGGGTACGCCGCGCCTGAGGAGAGATACTACACCCGGTATGATCGGCCCTCTTCTGTCTTACCCGCGGAGCTGGAGCCAGGCAGTGGGCTGAGGCGGTTGAGGGAGGAGTCTGACTATCCGAGATACCGCGACGGGCCGCGCAGACCGATTAACCCGGCTGATGAGATTGTTGAAATCGTACACGTTATCGAGGGAGAGCATTCATATTATATTGAACGACCGGTTCGGCGTGAGCCCCAGACACGCTACGTGTTTGAAGAGCGAATACTTCCTCATCGTGAGCCAGTTGACCGCTTTACTGAAGGTGGTGGGTATGAGGCCGGGTACGCATCGGCCGCTCGGCCTGCAGGATCGGCTTCAGAGATGAATATGGCTAGAAGATTCAGCATGGCACCAGAAGGGAGACGAAGGACGGACGGAGGAGTTACGGTCAATAATTCAGCATACCTAGAGGAGTATGATCCTCGGTTTCCGGCGGCCTAGCTTGCTACCTCATATCACAACACGAGGCTCAAGTTGATGGATGACATTGTTTCTTTATTGGTCTCAACCAATGCATATATATATATATGAATACCCAACTTTGGGAATACCCTGATAGTATTGGCATGACTGAGATGATGGAGCACGAAAAGTGTTGTAATCACGGGTGATGTAGAACAGCACTGCTAGCCATCTCGCATTAAGCAGGTGATCTCGAAGTGTCCCAGAAGTTGGGTGGTGTTGATTTCGAGCTGGACGTCTGGTCTTCCCGGATCCACAACCCCCCCCCTTTCACCCTAACTCGTTCAATCCAGACCCTGCATTAAATAGTCTTCCATCACCAACTTACTCCAAGTGCAAATGCAGCAATCACATCTCTCAACTCTTCCCCCTGACAGTTCCGTCACTGCTGACATGACATTCACGCACACTCCCAAAAGGTCACAGCGAAATGGCCAAAAGGCTCGGGGACACTAGGCAAACGAACGCGAAGTCATTTTTCTATTCATCGTCAACATCACGGTGGATTGTTGATCGTAGCTCATTTCCATGAGCTCCCCACCGATGCCGCCGCACAGGGGACAGTGTAAGATCGGTTGGGGTCCGACTCCCACGACGCCGCACCTGAGCTGCTGACCTTGACAAACTTGTATTGGATGTTGGTCCCAGGGGCAAGCTTCAGAGTCCCGGTCCAGAGAGGGTTGTTGTTGGTGTACTGCGATGCGTTGAGCGCAACGCCGTTGGTTGGGTTCCAGTTGCCGAGAGCGGCCACATTTCCAGTGCTGTTGGGTGGGAAAAGACTTGTTAGTATGGTTGCGGTGAAAAAGAACAGAAAGAGTGGGTGGGGGTTATGACATACACCTTGACTGAGTCGCCGAAAGACGTGGACACGAGGTGGTTGAAAGTGATATCGACCGTGGCTAAGGAGCAGCTGGGATTGGCTGAGTGAATTCACGTAAGCTCTCTGCCTCACCGGTAGATTCAAGAGGAGCATACCTGTCGGGGTGGCAGTTGGGGCAGCGGTCGTTGATGTCGCAGTCGGCGGGCCAGTCAGGGAAGGGCAGATGCCACTTCCGGCGAGGCGAGAGGCTGGGTAGAGCACCCTTGAAACACCGCCATTGAGCGTGACGGTGATACCACCACCTCCATCTGTGGTGTAAGGGGTGCAGCTCATGACATCAATCAAGGCCTGGTTGGGGGTGAAGCCAGTGGCCGAAGAGACCAAGGTAACAGGCACCGACGAGGAGGAGCCGGCGTTGGTGTAAACACCGATAACCTGAGCTCCTGTGAACCCCTTTCGGAGAACAATGGTGCGGCTGTCTGAGTAGATGGTGTGGGCGTTATAAGTGAGGTATTTCGAGTCTTGCGAGATGGCGTGCGACCGAATCTGGTTAAGCTTGGTGATCCATTGGTAGAGTTCCGAGCTGGTCGAGTAGCCCGAATACCAGACAGCCTCGCGATTGTTGGGGGTTCCTGTGCCGGCATAGTGTTGTTCTTGTCCCTGGTAGATGATGGGGATACCTGTGGGTTGTTAGTGAACCACTCCGAACAATTCAAGCGATGGGGTGGACTAATACGTACCATCCTTCAGCATCGTGACAGCGATTCCCTAACAAAAGACCAGTGTTAGCGCTTGCTCCGAAAGATCGGGTTGGAGATGCCTCACATTCTTTGCCAGCGCCATATCCTTGGTAAAGGAAGCGAAGCGCTCCACGTCGTGATTCTCTAGGAACGAGCCCCAAAGACTGAGATCCTTCGCAACGCCCTTGATTGTATCGAGACCAGCCACGAGCGCGCTGATGCTACCGCTGGTGGACTGGAAAGCCCGGAGGATGTAATAGTAGCTGAGATGTATGGTCAGAAATGTCCTTTGATCAGCAAAAGAGACATCGACTCACCTAGGATAATCAAGGACGCCATCCATGTAGTATTGGTATGGCGCGACATAAAGAGCGTCGCCATGGTACACCTCACCCGTCAAGTATACGCCCGCCGCGGCATTGAATCCAGACCAAAACGATGTCTCGACATGCTTTGCACTGTCGACTCGTAGACCATCACTGAACAAAATAGAGTTAGTTCTTCATTTCGCTTCATGGCACAGGTCGAGGGCTCGTACATGGAATAGGTAGAAACAAGGTGAGAAATCCACTCGTTCCAAATCCGACGCACATTGGGGCTATAACAAGTCAACACAAAGCACATGGCGGATGGTGCTTTCTCGTGTGTGCTTACTCTGAAGTCCGAAGATCTGGGAGACTGACGGTGTCGCTTCCTTGCCAGCATCTTGCCGTATGTTAGCTCTGCATAGATTCTGCGAGCACCTCGCGCAAAACACAACGGTACGTACTGTTCGACTGAAGTTTGGCTGTTGTAATTGATCCAACAGGGAGGGTGATAGTACGAAGACTGCGGAACACGGTATCAGCAACTGAAATCTTGTTAGGCCTTAGAGTCTAGAGGTACATACCGACGAAAAGGGGCTGAGAGCACCATAGTCAACACAGTTAGCACAGCCCATGTGCGCCATGTGGTTGGTGACAATATCCACCATAAGATACTACGTAATCGTCAATATGGTTAGCAGGGATGTCCCTTCTGTCCACCCAGCCCTACCCAACAACTATGGTGGTTTCTGAAGAGCAGAAGCTGAGGCTCGAGTCAACAAACGCACCATTCCTCGCGCGTGGAGCGCCGTGGACAAGGCCTTCAGGTCGTCCTCGTTGCCGAACGCTGGGTTCAGAGCCCAAATGTCCTTGGCCCAGTACCCATGATAGGACGATCTAGATTCGCGTATCTGTCAGCCCTCAACCAAAACAAAGATACCACTTTCATAGTGGGTCATAGCAAAGCGTTGTCCTTACCCATCCCTTGAGTTTCCATCAATCTGCTTGACAACAGGCGAGATCCAAACAGCTGTGAAGCCCATGCCTTGGATATAGTCCAGCTTCGAGATGAGTCCCCTCCAGGTCCCGCCGCAGTACACTTGGTGAGTGGTATCGCATGGTGCCGTAGTCGAAAGATCGGTGCGGGCGAATCGATCGGTGACAACCTGGTAGATAGACTGCTTGCGCCACTCTGCCGCTGAAAGTCCCGAGACTCCCATCACTCCACAGAGCGCTGCGCCTGCGGCCAGGAGCCGCATGCCGAAGTTCAGGGTGTACATTGTGACAACAGCGAGGTGCTATCACTGAGAACTTCTGCGGCGATGGAAAGAGAGCCCGTCGAGGAGGAGTGGGTGAGCGAGGAAGGGAAAAAACTGATCGGTGTGTGAAAACCGCCGAGTTGAGTTATATCCACGGAGCTGAAGCTGAACTTGAAGCCAGCCCCCTTATTAAGTACACCATCCTCGAGACACCATGGCAAGCACTTCCTTGATGATGATTAGCAAGTGTCAAATCCAGGTGGAGTGTCAAGAATCAGATAGAGAGATATCCATCATGATGGTACCGTGAACGTACCAACCATACCGCAGAGGTGTGTAGAGAAGCATGTAACTATGGCCCAGCAATTGGCGCGCCCAAATTCGGTCCGTTACGAGACCGGATACAAAACTTGTTCAACCGTAGACTGGGCATATGACTAGACGCGGACCTGATCTCGACCTTCCATTGACACTGCACTCGGAGCCATGTGCCTCGAAAGGGCTAGATACCGTACCAAGCCGGCAGCCGCACGCATTCCCCGCAAATGTTGGAGATCCGGGGCCCCGCCTCGACCCCTGAATCCGTCTTCCAAGGGAGCGGCAGAAGGCCCGAATGCGCTGCCGACAATGCCTTTTCTCTACACCACCTTCAATGACGAAAGTCGTCAGCGTACATAAAATGCGGGGAGGGGCAGTGTAACGTGCGATGAAACAAATCTTCGGCATGGCAGCCTCGGCTCTTTGCATTTTTTTCTCCAACGTTCGAGCAGCTAGCACACACTGATGGCGGTGGTAGTTATGACAGTGAAGGATGAGAAGGGGTATTATGATATACAACCCAGAGGCGACCTCGAACCAACCCACGCTTTTCCCCTCTGTCCTCCTGATTCCCACACCTGGCCCAGGAAACCCAAACAAACTACCTTCCCATGACGTATTCGACAAGCGGTCTCAACTGGCCCTCGGCTCTCCGTCAACTAGATGTTGTGATATCAGTCCGGATTTCCATAAAACAGAGACCCGTCTGGTTGTTGCTGCAACGTGTCAGCGTTACCAGAGAAAAAGGTGTACGTTTCTCCACCGAAGTTGGCAGTCTGGGTGTAGTTTTCGAACGAGTCCTACATGTAGTGTACTGCGTCAGCAAAGAAGCAAGAGTCGGGCCGTTGTTGACACAGGATGGTGGGACTGCTCACCCAGTCAAAGTTGCTTCCAAAATCCATACCACTGTGTGCCATGCTATTGAACATGGATAGCGGAGACTGCACTCCATCCAGCAACGAGGCATTTGCAAAATCAGAGGCGGCCCCCGCGTCTGATTTCAGTCCCAGGTCAAGAGCCGAATAAGTGGTACCCCCAGGACTCTGGACAGTTTCGAATGCCGAGGACAGGTTGCCGCTCGGGTGGTTTCCACTTGACAGCATTCCCAGCGTCATGGCGGCCGAGTGCTCCGGCTGCGACACCCCCGAGTCGACTGACCCGAAAAAATCATTACGCATCACCGCTTCGGGCGGACTTGCTCCCACACTGTCTGGCCGAACGAAACTCTTGATCTTGGCCAGCATGACCTCCAACACGTTCGAGGCCTTGACCGCCTCGATCGAGGTGTCAACGAGCCCTTTCCAGATCTCTATCGTCTGCTCGAGGCTACGGATCATCTCCTCCCGCTGCTCGCGAGTCCAAAAATACAGACTGTGGGAGCTCTGCCGCTCCCCAGACCGCTGCGCCTCATTATCAAAGTGGAGATCCAGAGCAATAAGCATTGCGGGAAGCAAGAAATCTTTGGTTGCCACCGAAGTGACATACCACTTGATCGACTGCAAGCGCCCGTTGGGCTGTGATTCTCTGTGCAAGGTCGCCAGATGCCGCAATGTTTCGAGGGATGCCTCGATGGCGCTGCGACGAGAGTGAGCGTACCGGGGATTGTGCCTTGCCCTAGGCAGATATTTTCTGTGAAGAAGACATATAATCTTCAGGTGAAGGATATCGATGTTGAACCGCGCGATGATGAGTGTGAGCGGGTCATGGGAGCCCTCGAGTGGCTGCAACATCAGGTGAGGTGGAAGCTCTGCCTTAATGTCGCGCAACTTGGAGTCATGCCGAAGGATTTCGTCGTAATGAACTTGGTTCTTGACTCGGCCAGTTATCTGCAGGATATTGCCGAGCTCCAGACAAAGACGGATCTTGACGATCATGTAGCTGATGGGTGTGGGCTCGGAGCTCGGCCTGGACGGAGGTAGTACCTTTGTATCTGGGCCAAACTCTTCGTCAAAGATGTTGTGTGGCATCTCCGTGTCACAGTCATGGTCATTGATCATGCTTGAAAGCGATACTTGATGTGAAAAGAAAATGTCTGTCGTCCTGACCAAGGCCCATGTTCTTCGCCTCATCTCCTACATTCCACGTGGCGGTTAGTCTATGATTTGAGGGAGAAATCATTCTCAATGGCTCAACTTACGGCTTGGAAAGGCGTGATGGTTGTGGGAAACCACTTACCATCACGGTGGTATCCCATGCGCAGTGCCACCCTCGTGACGAGCGATATGATCAGCCACAGGCCCAGATCGGCATCCCAACGGGAAGAATACTCGCAAAAGGCATAGAGGATCATGGTCTCGACGGTATACTCGGCCGGCTTGGTGTAATCGCCCGCTATCAGGCACTGCACGGTTCGCAGTCGGTACTCGTCGGCCAGCTCGAGCGCTCTCCCTCTCCACTCTGGAGGCTCGTCCCCGACCTTGTGGTATGAAAGCATAGCCAAGCACAAGATTGAGTAGAGCAGCCCTAGCCACATGATTGGCGTCTTGGATGGGTCCTGCCAATGATTTCGAAGTTGTTGGTGAAAGGTGGGTGCGTGTATGATGTTGACAGCATTATCCATGGAATTGAAGTATCTCCCACACAGCGTCAAGACGGTCGACTTGGGTGGCAGTTCAGCTCGAAGCTCAACTTCAGTCGCCGGTATAGCCCCCATTAGCAGCGCGGGCGGAGCCATGGCCGTGGAGGGCTTGCTACGCTTGACCTGCTCATAGCTGTTTTCCAGCTCCTTCCTGTGGGATGCGAAATAATTCTTGACCTCGGTGATATCGAGCAGAATGGTGTGCCAATGCTCTTCTCCGAGGTAGATATGTTTACTTTTCGTCGGGTCAACCTTCAGCACGCCAAGCGACTTGGCTACATCTTCGATATCGCTTTCATCTTCATCCTGCATCGCATCCTCCAAGTGCGTATCGACTTTGGACGTAGCAGAGTTATTGTCTACCGTAGAGGGTGTGGCGTTGGAAGCAGGGTCAGATGAGCTTCTGTTTGCAACTGAAGCCGGCGATATCTCAATGTTTGCGCCGCCATGCATCAATGATAAAACCAGTCCCTCAAGCCTGTCAATGCGATTTTGCATATCATCCGGTGTTGGTTCACCCTGGTTCTGGCCCTTTTTGCGTGACGTCGGGGCGGCATAAGAACACGCATTTGCATCGGATCCCTCGCGCTTCACGCAATTGCTGCATGGATGAGACCTGTCACATTTTCTAGAAAAAGAGTGTGAGTAGATGAGCATTTGGTATCCCACCACCATGGCCATCGCCATTGTCGTCTCGAACTTACAACCTAAGCACGGCATTGTCAGCAAGGGACGGTCAGAAGTATGTCGGAGCAGGGAGAATGAATGCCTTACTTCCTCTGCCGGCAAGGGTAACAACTCAATGGTACTCTGTTTCTCTTGCGGACCACCCGGAACTGGCCATCAGGCGAACGCCCATTCGAGGAAGGCGTAGTCGATGGTGGTGTCGGCGTCATGATGCGCGTTCTTAAAGATTGGCTGTTGGATCGTGATATCTTCCCCTCCGTTCCCAATCGTCCCCAGCCGCACTGTAGATCCGGGGTAAGGTGGAGATAGCAAAAGACCCGCCGCACAGGCTTATCTGAACCTCAGTAAGGTCGGGTGGTTCGGAAAGAGACGTCTGAAAGGAGACACAGCTGATGGTGGAAGGGCTTCAGTGTCCACCGCCGAGGTATGTCGCGTAGTCTGGCATGCAGGGGAGTGCCGGTTTGGCAGCTAAGATTGTTGTGAGGTGGGCTCGCCGAGTCCTCCAATTCGACCTGTCGACGGGGCGGAACAGAAGCACCACGTTCGCATGCGCGCGCGAACTGTGAGGAATAGATAGGGTGAATGGCCGTGGCAGGCGCAAAACGTAGACTCGGTCAGAAAATAAAGAGATTGGGTTGAATGTAGGAGCGAGTTGGAGAAGACCCTAGGCAAACACAGGATTGCGATGCGACCATGTCCCGCTCCCCTCCTATCCATAAACGTTGTTGGTGGGGCTGATACATGAGCTGCTGCTTGAGTGGGGGGGTTATCCGGGCAGCTCTTTGTCTCCTGGCCGAGGCCTGGTTAGCCTGCTGTTGCTGTCTGAGGGATTGGTTGCGATGAAGGATTGCGATGGCGTGATATTGCACTACACATAACTCAGATATAGCAGACTACTACAATGAGAATGTACACACATGGCCTAGCTTTGCGTCAAGACTTGGCTGTTACCCCCATCGTTTAGCGGGTTCGCGTATTTCTCTTGATCCATATCTTCGTCTACCATACAGCATAGGGACAAGAAGTCATATGAGTTGGGCCTGAACTGCACCCCCCACACAGGAGCTGCTTATTAATCCCTTGTTCCGTTCTCATCAATATCCCAGTGACTCACCAGCGTGTGAGGAAGATTGCCCGACGTCGTCAGCATGTCAGCAGCGCCCCCCTGTTTCTATCGTCACACAAACCTAGCACGCCGGACAACCGGCGCAGCGATTGTGGAACCAATCAACGCCACGTGAATGAACAGCAGCCAGTGCAGCCCGCTGCTACAGTGGTGAGCCTACAAAGTTCTCATGGTTCTGATTTGATTATCCTATGATAGGGGCCTTCTTCTCACGAGGCGGCTGCAGTCTCGCCGTTGGACTTGATGCTATATGCCTTGAAGAAGTCGGCGTCATTAGACAGTTCCTCCTTGACCTGTAACCTGGTTAGTCGGCGTGACCCATATAGCAAAAGAAACAGGCGACAGGAGGAAAACATACAATATCAAGCCCTCCGACCAGCTCGCCGTCAACCCAGAGCTGGGGATAAGTTGGCCAGTCGGCAAACTCTTTGAGGCCCTGGCGCACTTCATCGTCGGCCAGGATGTTGAAGAAGCCATACTTGACGGCGTTTTCCCGCAGAATAGCTACTAGCTGCCGAGAAAAGCCGCACTTGGGCTCGCTAGGAGTGCCCTTCATGAAGAGCATCACGGGAGCAGCCTTGACAAGATCTCCCAGACGCTTGAAGAGCTCCTCCTTTTTCTTCTCTGGATCCTCCTCGGTTGCCACCTCACCATCATGGCCGTCAGTCGCAGTCGCAGCGCCATTCAAAACTGGGGCGCCGGCCTTGGCGGCATGGGCTTCGATGGCATTCCGCACCTTGACGGCGCTGCTTCCACTGACGGTTTCCAGCACCTGTCCGTTGCGAATCAGGACAAGAAATGGAACGGCTGTCACGTTGTAGGTTTCGCTAATATCCGAAAGATCCTCTGCGTTGATTGACACCCATGATGTGGACGGTGGTTCAGTGACGGGATACTCGCTCGCCAGCGTCGACAGAACGGTCGCCATTTGCGCGCATGGAGCGGCCCATGGCGCATGGAAAGAGACCACGAGGAGAGTGGAAGGCGGTAGTGAGGTGACGTGATGTTCCCAGTTCGAAAGACTGGTGATTTCGCGAATAGTCGACATGTTGTTGTATTGGTAGATATTCGAGCGGGTGACGGGGAGACCAAGACTCGCAAGGCGTGGCTGTCGGTGTGCAATGTTCTATGAGGTGATCTCAAAAGTTCAAGTGGCTCAGGCAAACCGAACATTCTCCAAACAGTGCCGAGCATTGCCCCTCCATGAACTGCGATAAAGCTGGGGCCGATGGCGGATGACCCCGCAGTCCGCTAATATGGGCCCTGATTGGCTAGAGATCTGTTGCGTCATTTGGGATTGTCTCCTACACAGTAGGTACCTTTAACTCCGGCCAAGACGGAAGAGAAGCGTGCCTGGAAGCTCCCGTGAGACCGACAACCCGATGTACTTATTTGTGGTATCTTTAAAGCTTTTTAAAGCATACCTAGGTGCCGATTGCAAAGCTCGAGACAGACTTGCAGATGCTAAGCATGGTGGCTGGGTTTGATGCAAGCTAATTGCATCGTCAACACTTCGCCGGTTGCAGGTTGCACCTTCGTGCACCTTCAACATCAATGAACCATGACACGTGCTTTCCAGCTCAGCAGGTGTAGAGCCATCCATTATTAAAGGTCGAGGGACTCGCAGCCAAAGGCAAGGTCGTCGCGTCTGTGTTGTTTTCCGCCACTTTCCATCATCTACTAGCGACAAGAGCTTGCCTCTCCAGCCTCCCCATTCTGCAGAAGAACCTTTCACCGTCTTTCCCTCATCTTGCTCCGCAACTGACCTACCAATTCACATCCTCCTTTGAGATCTTGAAACTCCCCAACCTAGTCACCTGCCCGGATACGGATACCTACTTATCCTCGAAGACTTACACAATGTCAGCTGCCGAATACTATCAACAAGGCCCACCGCAACAGAGCTACGCCTCTCCGCACCCACCACCACAGGCCTACCCTCAATATCCCCAACCGGTGAGTCAACCCTGTTCCGGAACTGCTGGACGGCAGCTTCCCGCGCTGAGATGGGATGCCTATGCTGACGAGGTATACCACAGTCCTACGGAGGGCCTCCACCACAACAAGGGTACTATCCACCGCAGGGGCCGATGCAGTATCAGCAACAGGCACCCCCGACGAAGAGCAGCGGTGGCGGTGGTTGTCTTAAGGGCTGTCTAGCAGCCATGTGCTGCTGCTTCTTATGCGAAGAGGGCTGCGAATGCTGTGCAGACTGTTGTGAGTGCTGCATGGAGTGTTGTTAATGGCGGCGGGAGAATTCGGCATTGGAGTTTGAGCAGGGTGTTTCCAGTTTAGTAATTCAAAACGAGATGGGGAGCGATGAGAGGGAATCAGGGGACGAGGAGGACAGCTTCATTTCTCGCTGTTGACCTGGTGTGGGTACCGTCACAGAGCTGTAAGATGGGTTGAAATGGATATTTGAAACCCTTAGGAAGCACCTGGATGCATCACTATCACCCAGATACCAGTACGGACGTTATTAGAGCTACACTAATTACATATCCTGTTGTACATGAGTGTTGTCCAAGTGAAGGTGATGATGGGAAAACTGGGGCTCTTGTCCTGTCCAATGGCAGCACCCCATTCGATGAAATGCGCGCCAAGACGTACCCTGGAGACTGGGTGGGCTCAGTGGGCTGCTAGGGGAGGCGCACAGCCTCTTTGACGTCGGGTTGGCAACCTTCTGGGAAGCTCCCTCTCCGTTTCCCAGTTCCCTCAACGTCTCGCAAGACATCAGTCAGTCATACTTCTAGCTTCTTGTTTAAAGCCCTCTCTTTGTCACCACTGGGCCTTCTCGAATCATTCCATTCTCACGCTCGGCCCAGGCAACTTCTGGAGTCACTACACAACGACCATGTCTTCGCTCAATCTGTCCACCAATGGCGTGGCCATCAAGAACAGCTACCAAGGCGTCATCAACGGCACGCTGTCATCAACCTCACCTACCGCCGCTCGCTGGGCCCTGTTCACGGTACAGGCGCCATTACTGAATGCCTTCCAAAACACGGGTTCGAAAGAGAGTGTCCTCAAGGTTGAGACCACTGGCGGTGAGTTCCAGGGAAACCTCCCGGTCCTTCCGGCTTGGGCTTGCTAACCACCGCTTTGCGTCAACAGAGGGCGAGCTTGCCGACCTGATCGAGGACTTCAACGAGGGACGCATTCAGTTTGCTTTTGTCAGAGTCAAGGACCCAAACAGTGGCCTGCCCAAGAATGTCTTCATCGCCTGGTGCGGTGGGGGCGTCCCTGAGCGGACCAAAGGCTACTTCACCAGCCACGTTGCCGCCGTCTCCAAGGTCCTCACCGGTTACCACGTCCAAATCACGGCGCGATCTGATGCCGACCTCGAACCTGAAGCCATCGTGCAAAAGGTTGCGGATGCATCGGGTGCTAAATACTCGGCTGGGTCCGCCCCGGTCCCTGCTACGGCGGCAGCGCCACCGCCGGTTGCCAAGAAGCCCGTCTTCACTCCGACTACCTCGACTTCCGGCACCTCCTTCAATCCCCTCGTCGCGGCCCGCAATCGCAGACAAGATAATACCGATGATGACGGCTGGGGAGCAGACGCCCCTCCCGTTTCCCGCACTCAGATCGAAAAGGTGGCGCCCGCCTACAAGCCAACCAAGGTTGATATTGCTGGTCTGAGGAAAAACCCCGACGAGTCCCGCCACAGCACCCCCTCTCAATCCGATGATCAGGCTCGCGATATTGTTAAGGGTGGGTATCAGCCCGTGGGAAGAGTTGATGTGGCCGCCTTGCGGGCTCAGGCAAAGCAGGATGACCGGCCTGCCGTGGTAAGGGGTGCCTATGAACCCGTGGGAAAGGTCGACATCGCCGCCATTCGTGCCAAAACTCAGCGTCCAGTAGAAGCATCAGAGGAGCCATCAGCACCAAAGTCTCTTGCCGAGCGCAGTGCTGCCTTTGCTCAATCGGAACGTCTTACAGAGCTGCCCAAACCCAAGGTCGCCAAGAAGTTTGGCAGTACTCCCTTTACTGGGACCAAAGCACCCACGCCATCCGGCTTCGGGGCGGCATCTGTTCCAGCGCCTCCACCGGTTGGCGCCGCCAGCCGCACATTTGCTGACCAGGGGGGCAAAACACCGGCCCAGCTGTGGGCGGAGAAGAAGGCTAAGCAAGCTGGATCAATCTCGTCGGCATCGCCTGGGCCTGCTCCCGAAATCACGGCTCAAAAGAGCGGCAGCGAGTGGAAGAGCGGATACGCAGGCAAGAGCTGGGCTCCTGTCAGTACGACCAACTTTGGACGCGGCGGGGTGGAGAAGCATGCGACCGGCGGTAGTGGTACTGAGCGCTCACAGCCCGAAGCCGAGCCCGAGACAGCCGCGCCTTCCCCCGGTGGCATCGCAGCACTGCGCGATAGGTTCAAGGACCAACCGCCCATTGGCGTCTCTTCACGATCTGCGCCAGCTGAAGAGGAGGCCGCGCCGCCGCCACCACCTCAGGCAAGCCGACCTGCCGGAGGGTTTGCCCTCCCTGGTCTCCCATCCAGACCAGCCCCAGCGGAGGAAGAGGAGGAGGAGGAGCAGCAAGAGCCTCCCGTCCCATCTCGGAACTACGAAGAACGCGACCCCTCTCCTGTGCGCATTGCGGTGCCGGTTGCACGCAGTTCTGTTCCAGACCTTGAACCGCCTGTTGAGGCGCTTCCCCCTCGTCCTGTGCCTGTTCCTGAGGAGATCCCTCGCGAGGAAGACCTCCCAGCAGAGGAGGATGCCTATGATCCCCGGGCTGCTGCTGCCACCGTCGCGGCTGTTGCCAGTGATACTACCAGGCCAGGTGGAGCAGCTCCTCAGTCCAACACCGATGGCGGCTTACGTGCTGTAGTTCTATTCGATTATGAAAAGGCTGAGGATAATGAGCTTGAACTACGCGAGAACGAAATCATTAGCAACATTGACAAGGTGGACCCTGATTGGTGGATGGGCACAGATGCCCAAGGCCGGAGCGGCTTGTTCCCTTGCAACTATGTCGAAATTCTGGAGGCTGACGTAGCGGCTCCTGTCCCTTCGGCCCCTGCTCCCGCTCCCGCTCCCGCTCCGGCCCCGGCCCCAGGGCCAAGCCATGCTTCCGCGCCCGATTCAAAGTCTGAGTACGATGTAGGAAGCGGGCCAACGGCCACGGCTCAGTTTGACTATGAAGCCGCGGAGGACAATGGTAAGCACTGGCACATACCATACATTTCCCCGGTCTTGCGAGTGGTGAAACTAATAGACCTTGTACAGAACTGAGCTTCCCAGAGGGCGCTACCATCACCAACTTGGACTTTCCTGATGAGGACTGGTGGTTTGGACACTACAAGGGAGCGTCGGGTCTCTTCCCTGCCAACTATGTGGAGCTTGATCAGAAGCCTTAGGTGTAAAATGGGTCTGGAGGTGGCTGGATTTACAATACCTGGTGTCCTATGATACCACACAGCGTTTGTTGGCATTTGTAAAACCTCTCAGAGCGTGAGAGAGCAATCAGCAGTAGGAAGTAGGGATAAATTAGCAAGATTGACGTTCATAGTCCAGGAATGGTGTCAGTGGCTACCCTTCTCCACGTCTGAAAAAGACAAATGCAATACATGGTTCTTGGCATGGCTGCACGCACTCCTTGCCCGCGTTGAGCTGTAGGTTGTAGACCTGGTAAGCCGTTATCCAAAATGCTGCAATGAATGAATTCTCTGGTCGCTTCAAAACAGGCGAGATAGGCCGAGCAAAGCCGGATTGTGCTGAAGTACAACAAGGTTGTTGTTTACGCATGTCGTCGCAGCCACATGATCAGTCCACTTTGGCCTTTTCTGTTCCAACCAACCACATCAGTGCTCCCTCCCCCCTCCCCCCTTGCTCCTCCTACATCAACCCAACAAGAGACAAGATCAAAAGAAACGAACCGTCATGTACTCACATACACCACCGGCGCCACCACCAAAGCCAGGAAATCATGATACTAGTGGCATGAGCACACCGGTGCCGGTGGGGCCGTCGTCACACACACCCCGCCCTCCGCCTCCGTTACCCGAAGCCGTCACAGCCGGCGGGCTGCACTCGGCAGATGTCGGTGCAGCAGCATCAAATGGTGCGTTGGTCCAGGCCCAGGAAATCCCGGATCCCGGAGACCAGTGGCTGCCCAAGTTCTTGCAGGATAAATCGTATGTTTATGTTTGGCGCTGGCCACATGCAACCAGCCTTGCTCGTTGTTGCTAACCACAACGGCTTCAGAAAGCAAGATTTGGCCGAGATATTGTCGGACCCGGCACGCCTCTCGGCGCTCACCCACTCCCCTCAGACAGTCCACCCCTCTTTGGGATCGTCTCATGAGGCACTGCAGGTAGCACTAAGTGAAAACATCGAGCGGGCTGCTCAGCTGCTCGAGCTCGAGGCGAGGCTGGCCCACCAGAGATCAACAACACAGTCCCAGCTGCTGTCGACTCACGCACTGGAGAGACAGTGGCGGGCCAAACAGGCAGACATGGACCATGCGCTGGCTCCGTTCGCGCCTGCAAGTTTGTATCAGCGTCTCAGTCAGGGGGTTCAGGAACAGGAAGGCGTTTGCTATGCGCTGGAGGAGAGCTTTCTCGAGGGGGAAGGTGACGGTGCGCTGGCTACGGAGAGAGAGGTCGGTGATTGGATCAGGAGGTACAGAGAAGCCAAGAAGCTGTACTATTTGAGACAGGAGAGGAAGGAGAGGTGGGACGAAGGCAGGGTTGGAGGGTGGAGGTGAACCTCGTCATTTGCTTGCCCCCTCTATTAACAGCAGTAGTATTCTCGTTCCCGGTGTGTTCCGTGAGGGTAACCTATCTCAAATACAACTACAAAAACACTCCCAACACATCACCGTTTGTGCCATGCACTTCCCCAAGCCCTGAAAGTCCCCAATGTCTAATCCACTTCTAGGTAATTATCATCATACAACATGACCCTCTTTGACCTCCCCCTGTTTATAAGATGCTAAATGGACTCCTCTTCATCTCTGGACTTCGGGGGCTCATTGGCAGCGCAAATAGATCTTCCTCGGTAGCATCCTTTGTCCCTGCCTTTCCCACTGCCGAAGACGATTGGGGTAGGTTGTTTCCAAGGACGGCATCCAACGAAGCAACACCAGCACCTGCTGAGCCCATGGCGATGCTGCGCCCTGCCAGGCCCGTCCCATCTGAAGCCGTAGCGAGGGAAGAGTGAAGGCGATGCTGTGTATCCTTAGAGGCTGTCGAGGAGATTTTGGTAAGTAGCATGTTCGGCCACAAGCAAACTAAAACGGGGCCTCCGGAGAAGGCAACTAGTTGAGGGTTTGACATACCTTGGCTTGCAGCAGCCAGTTCTGCAGGGCTCGTAGCAAGCTTCAAGCCTCGCAGCTTTTCGCCTAGCTTCCCCCCTATTGGGCTCCTCGGGCTCGCTGGACCGGCCGCCGTTTGTGGTATATGTAGTCTGGTTGGCTTGGGCACGCCGTGATCCGGGCCGAGTCCGAAGTGGTCGACAATCCACTGCCGCTCTTGCGCTGCCATCTCCAACCCCACACTTTCGCCATTCGTCCTCATTTCCACTTCGATCTCGGCCTGCAGTTCTGCCAGCCGCTTCTTTGCCCATATCGTGTGGAGCACGCCTCGCAGGCCCGCCTCTTGCTTGCTGGTGAGCTCAGCAGGGAAGATGGCTGGCATGGGCATTGTGCGCAGAACTGGTCCGCCTGAGCTACCCTTGCGTGTGATGCTGACGAGTGCAGGCACGGCGGCGCCCGTGGGCAGAAGAAAATAAATACGTCTTGTGCCACCGTTGGCACTGCCGCCAACGCCGACATCCCCGACGATGTCGTGGACGGCCAGTGCCGATTTCTTGCCCTCCCACGAGACTTCCCAGTCTGTAGCATTAGCTGCCCCCTTCCCAGCCTCCTCCGGCCTGGTTTCTTGCTGTCGTTGTTCCCGCCCGCCGAACGAGGCGTCCCACTCCACCATCAGCACCTTGGTGCCCTCATTGCCCTTGCCTGTCTCGAATTCGAACCGGGAGAGCGCCAGGCCCGACGAAGGTGACGTGGGTGTCTCGACCACATCCAGAGACTCAACATCAGTTGCCGTCACCGCCGCCACCGACCTAGCGGCCGTGGTCATGGTGGTGATCCTGTGACAGAAACAAGATAGGACAAGGCAAAGAAGACACAGGCGACACAAGCACAAGGCCCGAAAGATAGTTGGGGGGATGTGGGGGACAGTCACCTAGCAAAAAGCTCGGTGAATTCGGCCGTATATCTCCGGGGGTGGCTATGAGCAACAGGGTGGCCAACCCGGCCACGTCTAGCTGGCTGAATCAAGCTGAAGACTCCCGGTTTGGTGACACACACCCGAGTCGGGTGCGTCAGTAGACGGTCCGAGATGCCAGAGCAGATGCGAGAGAGGGCGACAACGGATGAGGGACCAGGCCTGACAGCTTGGAGAGAACAGAGGGCGCAGCCGGCTGGGACTGGACCGAAAGGAGGAGGAGAGCTGGGACCCCGGTTCGGGTACGAGTTGATGCGTGCCAGGTAGACACGGACAGGCAGAGAGGCCTAGGTGGGCGGGGGAGTCAATACTTGGAGATGTGAATTTCGTCCGCTGTCCAGCCTCGGCCTGCCAAAGGGAAAGGCAGGGTAGAGCGCAGCCGCGTGTGCCTTGGGTTGGGGGAGGGTACCACCTGACTCCGGGTGTAGGCTAATATGAAGAGAATATGCACAGATGCAGCCGCGGCGGGGGAAACTGTGACGAGACAAGGGCCGCCAGAACAGGTTGCAAATATTGTGTACAGCAAGGTACTACGGTGGTTGTAGCTGGCGTAGAAGTCTCGTAGGTGAAAAAAGAGGAAGACGGAAAACTCACTCGTCACGCGGTGCAAAGAGGCGCGAAAGAAGAGCAAGGGAAAAGTCAGGGAGGCGACATGGAGGATGGGAAGCGCCTTCATGTTAGGCACTTGGCACATACTGCTTCACCTTATAATAGAATACATTGACAAGCAGCAAGGCCCGCAGTCCCGCGGTCCCGCAAAATCGAGGCTCCCAAGGCAAACCCCGCGAGTGAGGACGAAGATCGCCCATTACCTCCCCCACAGGTCCGGGACCCCGGGGCCATTGATTCTAGATTTGGGAAAACCCCATCCACGTCGCGAGTGGGCTGGTCCAGAAGAAAGCGTGCTTTGGCATGGCTAGAGAGACCACAGTGCATGAACTAATCCGCGCGTTGAGAAGGCATTGGCTTGGCCAACCGAACAAAGAGCCCCTACATTGCTTGCGGACGTCTATCGTCCCCATCGCTGGGTTGCTACATCAAGCCATCATGTTGCTATGCCTTGGGGAAGGATATCTTGTTCCCGAGCACCATAACCACCAGAATCAAACAAAGGTCCATCATCGAAAGTTGAACTGAAAGAGACGACAACTCTGGCGCTTTCAATCTACATACATACCTACCTTTTCTCGCGAGAGGCAGAAAATCAGCGAGGGGCACGGGTACCATCTTGTTTCCATAAATAGCCCCATGTCACTTGGCATTGAGTGACACCCTTTCCCAATCGGGACGCGAGTCTGGGAGGGTTGGGGGGGGCGATTTTCTGGAACTTTGCGGAATTTCAATGGCGGTTGGTAGTTGCGTTTCGGTAGGAGAACACTGGAAAAGTAAGATAATCACACGCAGATCAGGGTCAGGTCGATGACGACAATAAAACACCACTGCTACCTCCATGTGAAGACCGGAAACACAAGCCCCTTCATCGCCATGCATGTTGCTCCTGTAGCTGGTAGGAGCTTTGATCTGAAGATAAAACTGATCTCCCATGCGGCACATGATGGCCAAGCAGGTGAGCAAGTAGAACATCCATGTCGTTGGTGTCCAAAAGCCTTGCCACATGGCGGGGGCTCCCGTGATGCAGTGCGACGACCGTGATGATTCGCTCGAGCTTTTTTCGATGTACTGCGGAAGCCGGCGGTGGTTACCCAGACACGCAAAAGACGGGCCAAATGATGGCTCCGGACCGAGGCCGATTCCAATGTCGGAACCATTCTTGGCACGACACGGAGGGGCCGGAACATGACCGCGAAGCCGGCACAAGACTCCACTTAAAACCCCCAGACTACCGCCCATATGGATAGCCCCTCCGGTGCAAAGGCTTATGTGTCCGGAGCCAAAGTCGAGAGCGGCTCAAGGAAAGGGAGGTAAAGCGTGCGGCTCGGCGACGTGATCCGGTCGAAATGTGGTACCCTTCCTCCATGGTTGAACGCAATGGAATGACAGGGCCGAGATACTGCCGTTGAACACGATAGACGAAGCAAGCGAAGCTTGGAAGCGAGATGGTAGTTGTGAGGGCGACTGCTGGGTAACTCCTCGTTACATTGAGCATCGACCGTGAGCAGGACAAGAGTAGTGCGGTCAGGTTGGGCGGAGACGATGGCGGCTTTTTGAACAACGTGGAAAGCCCACCTCGGCCGGAAGCTTTGACTTTTCGGACACGGGCATGTTTGATAGAAGGTCGGCAGACGCCCGACAACCGCCGGAAGGAAAGGGGCATATGGCGGTTTTGAGCGGCATCCATAGGCTCTCTGGATAAAGGGGCCCGCGGCCATATACCCCCACAACGTTTCTTTTACAAGGGCCGAGATCCGGCCCCGAGAGGACGACATCGAGAAAATGACCGGAGTAGGGCCGTGGCAATTCAGCTAATCGCTAGCATTGCCCAACTTGGTGCCGCGTATCGCTCAGTGTATCAGACTCGCTATGAATCCTGGCTTTGTTCAGTAGATGTATAGGAGATCAACCGTTATCGCACGGTAATGGGCACGTCGATCTGTATACCTAGTTGATGGCGGCACGACTTCATCGCTTCCTCACCCACTATAGCCGGGATTCGTTTTAGATCAGTGTTGACCACAGGAGAGATGGCTGCCGAAGGGCGCGCAGGCGCCTCGATTATTTCGACTCGGCTCTCACTTGTCCATCTGGGGAGTGCGTCCAATCCAGGTGCCCATGGCTCTTTATTGCACAGGATGAATGCAGCATGAACAGGGGGTCCAGTGGGAGTGTGTTGTGATAGGCAAATATTTATTTGAAGGACCGTTCTATGGTCACATTTGGGGAGAAACGGCGTTATGCAGTGGTGATATCGCTGCTCTGTTATAACTCGACTCTTTCGTCGTCGCCCGACCTGCTCGCCCAACTGCCGACGGTAATGTTCCACGGGTCCTTCACCCCCAACTTCAACAACACCCTCCGATTTCTTCGGGGCAATAGAGAGCACAGGGTACCTGTTCTGGCCGAATCTGCTGGGCATGAAACCTGCCCCAGCAGCGATCGACAGGTCGCCAACCAAGAGGAATTCTATCTGGAATGTGTACTGCAGAAGCGAACAAAGAATAAAATCCAGAGACAAAATGGCGAGGAAAGGAAGTGACAAGCGAGAGATCTACACACGTTCGAGTCTCAGCGCCTCGTTGTACGTATGTCCCACTTGTGGTGCCGGCCCCAGCCAGGCATGCCTGTGTGACCTCATCAGCATGTAAACTCGGCAACCTAGGTAGACAGACATAGAAAGGATTTGGGGTTATGTAGGGGGGAGCGGGTGGATTGTCTAGTCATGGCTGGCTGGCGGCGGCGGTAGTAGTGGTGGTGTCGTTGCTGTTGATCATGACGCTGATGCCGCTGATGATTCCGATGATGCTGGTGATGATGCTGGTGATGCTGGTGATGGACGCGGATGAAATGGTCAGAAATGGGTTACTCCGTACTGGTCGATGTTCCCCCGGTTCCCCCATGGAAATTCCAGACGTCCCCATGTTCGGTGCTTCTTTGGATCCGTGATTGGCCCCGGCTAAATTACGACGTGCCCGCCCACATGCACAGCGATGCGGCCAAGGCTCCCCCATGTTGCGCTACCGGACCGTGAGCGTGGGTTGCTAAGCCGGGGGAGAGCTCTGCTAGTGCAACCGCCGCAGCAGCACCGCAGAGACATCCCGAGCAAATCGCCGGCTATCTAGCTCCCATTCCAAAACGGTTACGCTGACACGGGTGCAGACCAGACACTAGGAACCAGGCCCTGAACAGGCCCGATTGGGACACACCCTCAATGAAACGTGAGCACTTCTCTGGGCGCAGTGCAGCGATAGCAAGGTACCAGACATCCTCCGCCACGGTTCCGCACCGAAGAGGTATCGAGCTAGTCGGTTTGCTGGTGCAGACCCGCTGGGGTAAACGGTTCGCACTTGGGTCTGTGGAGGGGAGGGGGGCGTGGCACATCAACGAGCCATCAAAGGCTTTCGAATCTGGCCCGACTCCAGCAACTCTCCACTATTACGCCGGCCAAACCGCCGTGTGGGCCATCGCCAACCCCAAACCTTCGTCCCATCCCTACAACCGCACACACACACACACAAACACACTCTCCCGACCCTCGACCGCCCACTCCCCGCCCTTCTCCCCGCGAATCCCAGTGACCACCGGCCATACCCATACCGCAACGGCCACCTGTAATTCCATCCGTCTCGGTGCTTTCTGTGTCGCTGTTCTTTGATCATCCATTTCGGCGCGTGTTCGGGCACACGTCTGTCAGTTGTCTGCTGTCTGTCTCTTCGCCTCTTTCGCCCTTTCACCCTTTCACCCTCTTCCCCTCCACCCTTCCAAAACAGGCGTCAACCCCAGCTCCGTCGAACCCGCCAACCCCCCTCCCGTCCCGTCTTCTCCTGCCAGCCTCTTTCCTGCATTTTGTCGTCTGTCGCCGTCAACCTCCTGGTATTCTGGACCGTCGACTTGTTGCGCGCATCGCACGTAGCCTCCGATTGATCCAACTCGATCTCGCCCGTATTCATTCGTTACCATCTGGACGCTGGTGCTAGGAGGGTGAGCCCGGCAGTAATATCTCGCGAAAACCGACGACGCTCTGCACCAACAGACGAATCTCGACGCCAATTGACCCGCCGACCGTCGCTCGATACACTCCTCAACGCTTGCTCACTGGCTGTGGAATTGGAGGGTTCTCTTGTGCCTGATCTGTCGACGTTCCTTTCTCGCGAGGCCGATGTCCCATCATGGTTAAATTGCGATTGGTTTGTGTTGCCGCCATCATCAACACACCGTCCATCTCCTCTTCACCTGCGCAATAAGACCTAGGTGGTCGTTGTCGACCAAGAATCGGAGCCATGGATCCATTACATATCACCGAGTTCGGTTCGGAGCGCTATCTCGAGAAGGTCCAACAGTCTCAGGCCCAGACACAGGCAAATGCTTCCAAAGGGCAGGGGGCAGTCTCGACGCTCCTCCAGTCCCCCTTTATTCTCCCTATTCGCGAGTCCGGCGCCACGGGCTCAGATGTCGGGGCCAAGTCGAACGAGCAAAAGCGTCCGGAAAAGAAGGGATTCAGCTCCTGGAGGAACAGATTTACCAAGCCCCCAGCAGTCCCATCTTCGAGTATCTGTGAACAGCCCGAACGTCGTCCCTCGTTGCCAGAATCGACAACCAAACAGCCGTAAGTATTGATTTGCATCTTTGCGGAAGCCTATCCAAGTGCTAACCCCTCGTCAGGCTGCCTTTCGACCATCTGTTTGCCGCGCTGCCGAACGAACTGCAGGTCGAGATCATCGCATCACTTCCGCTCTCTGATGTCTTGAACCTTCGACTGGCTTCGAAATCCCTTCACGCTCTGGTATCGCTGAACGAAGTCCCCATCACACGCTACCACCTTGACCACCACATACCCGCGTACGCCAAACGGCTCTACCCTTTGCCCCAGGGGCGTTCGCTCAACTTTCACTATCTGTGCGGAATTTGGCATCGGCTACACGTTGCCGCCAAGCTGTCTCACCTAATGTGCCAGTTGATAATCAGAGAACAGTTGCTCCTCAACACTGAAGAAAAGAGGAGGCAGTACGCCCCTCAAACAGAGCGGATGCGCCGCCGTCTGATTCCCATTTTGTTTACCGTGTTCCATTTCTTCGAAACGTACCGGAAGCTTCACCTCAAATACATGGCCGAACACGACGGCTTCGGCCTATCAAAGACGCCTTATACGGTCAATCCAATCGAGGCCGAGATCATGAACATGTACGACGACCGCACACTTCTGCGCGTTCATGAGGCCTTTCCCCTGGTAATATGGGCCTTTTGCAGAAGGCTCCGACCACCATCCTATGTCGGCCGCGTCGAGCGATCGCTGAGGGGTTACCTTAAAGAGAGACCACCTGACGAGGTCCATGTTGCAGTGTTGTGCCTCGGTGGCATGCGGGAAGTCTTGAGGCTCTGGGAGGTGAAGGGTTACAATGCACGGCGGGCGGCCGTCGATGCTTGGTATGAGTCGATTCTCCATGAACAACCGGTGGAGCCGGAGCCGAAAAGAAGACGAGGGATGCTGGGCCTCAAGAGGAAGAAGTCTTCTTTCAACATGGGCAAGACGAATGGTCATGGGCACGAGGCACAGCACGGCGCAAACGACGTGAGCGCAGCACGCGGGAAACAGCCAGACAGCCTCGTTTTTCACACCAGCTTAGCGGCTGGTATGCCCATGGCCGCCCTGAGCAAGGACGAATCCAAACTGTTGTACCCTGATCTTCCGGTGCTGCAACGAATATGGCTGGTCACAGCCGAGGCCATGATCTTGGATCGCAAAATTGTCGAACGACCGGCACATATACATCGCAACGCCCAAGTATTTACCGATTTGATTTCCGAAAGCGGCATCGATGAAGAAGACCAGTGGCTCTATGGTACCACCGCACCGGAGTCTGTCAGGCCGAACCTGGACGCTATTGAAGAAGACCCAGATGAATAACCGGAAAGGAGCCCGGTGAATTTTTATCACACGGCCTCTGTTTAGCCAGCAACAAGGACGATCTGCTGACGTCCGCTCACTACATCACCGCCAAAACGCCCTCTTACGTCATTATTTTCGGCCCCATGAAGAGACGGCGGCTGTAAAACATCGATACCAAGACATTTCTACAAAGACACAATTTTCATTTGTCCGTTATGGGGTTATAAAAGCATTTACGGGCGTTTCAAGTTTCCTTTTTCAAGCTGCTGCTTCTTGTTCCGGAAAGCCGATAAGCTCGGCGGGGAACTCGGGCGAAGAGGGTCGGCATTGCGAGACAATATGGTGTACGGGATCTGTTGTTAAATCTTGGAAATGGTCCACGGGCCGCTTGGGGTTTCGAGCCCGGGGGGGGTTGTTTGTCGTATTTGGGTCTTTTTTTTTGAGGCATAAGGGGGCACACGGTGTGCCTTTTCACCTTACGGGTCATAGACCGCTCTTCTTTTTGTCACCTCTTGCTCTTGGTGTCGTTTCATCTTCTTTTCTTAAACTGCATACATACCCAGGAGTCATCTCACAGAGACACGGGCGCTTGCTGTACCATCGGTCTCGCTTGAGCTGCCTTGGCTCGAGTCAACTGAATGCCAGTTAGGTGGTGGACTTCATAGACACGGGAAAGACGCCTCCGCCCCTCCATCACATTACATGGCCTCTAATTAAAGTACATTATTCATACATTTGCTGCTTTGGGGGAAAACTTTCCCACGTGCCCCATATCAAATCAGAAAAATTCGTGTCTGAGGAGATGCGTAGTCAAGATGCACGATCAAGCTTGTCTCTCCATCGCCGTACCAGATATTGCAATGTTGGCCCCATATAATCCAATCCTACCTGAAAACGATATTATATCACCAGCCAATGTCAACATGTCAGTTCCCAAAGGCTATTCTTCATGACTTGTGTATTCATGTATTCATGGACCAACCCTGACCCCATCTCATTCAACGACGACCGACTCCGTGATAACGTTCATTATAGGGGAGTCCTGACGTGTCATAAGTACCTAGGCCTGCCGCACCAAACGTGGAACTGTTTCCCGAGGTGCGGGCATTGGTCGTGTTGATGCCATAGGTGTTCGTTAGCCCCAGACTTGATGGCTGCCCGGATGCATCGATATGGCCTGTGTCAAATAACTCCCAGCTACCACCCGTATTTCCCGAAAATGCCTGCATTGAACCAGACATGCCTTGCACGCCCTGGTTGGTAGCGTGACTGGCGCTGCCGCCTCGCTGTTGGGCTGCGCCGGAGCCAGTGTTGAACGACGGAGAGTGGTGTGGCAATCCATGTGCGCCACTGCTGCGAAACGATGCGGCAGTCGAGGGTGTTGTGGACTGGCTGTGTTGCCCATAAGTAGAGGTACCCAGCGAGGTTGACGATGCCCGGTACGTGCCGTCGGTCGTGGCTGTATAATTGTTTGTCGCCGAACCGGCAAATTGCGAGGGCGGTTGGGTATTGTTGTACGAATTCGTGCTTCCTGCAGTTGTTGTTAGATGTTGCTGCTGGTATCTTTGCTGAGATGAGAGCTGCTGCTGCTGCTGCTGCTGCTTGTTTGTGTATGATGATTGATTCGAGGGATGCTGCTGCTGAGTCGAATTCACAGAATATTGCTGGGCTGGCGAGCCCTGCACAATTTGGCCTTGGAGTTTCTGCTGTCCCAAAAAATGGGATGATTGTTGTTGTTGTTGTTGTTGTTGTTGTTGTTGTTGTTGTTGTTGTTGTTGTTGTTGTTGTTGTTGTTGTTGTTGCTGGTGGTGTTGTTGGTGTCGTGATGAAGACAGAGATTGAGAGGATGACTGGCTTTGTTTGGAATGCTGCGACTGATTATATTGAGAATTCGGTGGAAGATACTGCGGATATTGGCCTTGACCGGTCGTTCGCGTTTGTGATTGTGTGGCTAAGGATAGTCCCGCTTGTGGATTTGATACTTGCGGCTGGGTGTTTGGTGACCTACGTTGCGGCGTTGATGCTGACGTCGACTGCTGCTGCTGCTGCTGCTGTCGTGGTTGCCGGGCTGACCTGTACTGAGGGTCGACACGGGTTTGATGGGAAACCGTTTGAGACTCCATCTCCGCTTGCTGCTCTATTTGGGCTTGCAATTGAGCCTCATAGTTCTCCATGGTGGGTGATTGGACCTCGTAGTGGTTTTGATGAGGCGAATGTACCGGTGGTACAGATGTCTCATTCGTGTCCGAGGCCATATCACGAGACTCCGTCATTGTGGTCAGGCTCAAAGCCGCGGCTGCACTAGAAGAGAGGGCCGAATGTGGTCCCGAATCCGAGCGCAAACCGACCATGGCACCAGTGGTTGACACTTCGATATTTGCAGCTGCTGGATCCTGGTTAGCTACCGCGGTGGTTTCCTTAGGGCCTTTGCCCCTCCTTGACCTTTTGGCCACAGGAGGCTGGAGTGCCGAGGCGGCTGTAGAATGCGCGGAGCCAACGTTTGCTGGTGGTGTTGGTAATGCTGGGCCATTCATTTGGGGTGATGCTTGGTTGGATACACCAGACTGCACAACGTGGTTGCCACCGCCTGTTTTGGCAGTCCTCTTGCGTTTTTGCCCCAAACTACCGGGTGCGGTGTTAGGGAGCGCGGGGCTAGCAGAGGGAGGAGTTGGGAGAGCCAGAGTTTGGCCCTGGGGGTTTTCCGTCTGCCTGGATGTCTGAGAAGGTCTTGGTCGAGAGCGATGGGAAGAGGTGCTGGACAGGCCGTCTGGGGGGGCCGAATACACAAAATCTGTTGTCGCGAAACTTCCAAGTGTTTTATCTAGGCCTTGTGATAATGTCGCGGGCTCTTTGTTTATTGATTCTGTCCTGGGGCCTGACGTTGATGCATTTCCTGTCTGCGCCAGATTCTTCTGCGTGGTGCCTGTCACTGTGTCCATTGCCGCCCCGGGTAACGCCCCTCCTGGCGCTGTTTCTGGTTCTACTCTCGTCGCAACCCCTGATGCGGCCCCTGAGGCCGACAGTGTCGCCGCTCTCGCTCCATGATCTGTGGTGATACCCGGAGGGATATGAGAACGCTGACTTGTTGGGCGTTGCTTATCTTCTAGAGCCTTTGATCTGCCCACCTTTTTGGTGGCCGTCGATGGGGTTCCGGCATTCACCGGGGTGAATGGTTGGCTTGATGTAGAATGTTCGAACACTCGAGGAGTTGAAGAGGCTTGGGCTGGCTGCGAGGCCTGTGGACGTGGCGATGATGCCCGTGCTGCCGTACCTACCGCATCTGGCCGCTGAGAATACAAAGGGTCGCCAGTCTGCGCTCTTGCAGGTGTGTCTGATGATCCATCCTTGGGCCGGTTTTTGGAGCCCTTGGGCCGACCCCTTTTCCTTGCGCTAGGTGTGAGATCAATTGTACTGGTGCTTGTGGTCGGGGCGGTGGGTAAAGTTGTTCGTACTGGAGTACTGGCCGCGAGCAAAGGCCGCTCATGGGCCACACCAGACTGCTGTAACTGTGGCACTGGTTGCGGCGTTGAGCTCTGCGCAAGAAGCATTACATTCGCATCCACCTCGTCCACAGCATCATCCTCGACATCAACCCAGCTTTCATCGGCCGCGTTTGTGTGTTGCTGGCTTTCGGCAGTGCCGGAGACAGCCTTCATAAGGGGCCCCTTTTTGATTCCTTTATCGATCCGAGGCCTGGTGCCCTTGCTGCCCTTGGGCCGTCCACGCTTTCGTCTTGTTGTAAACAAGGGGAGGAGGGTCAGACTCGCGTATAGCAGGAATGACAGGCTGTTGTCCTGCAGTGTTGCCCCCTAACCTGGGGAATATTTCAGCTATCCATCCTACAAAGAGGCTGCCAGATCCATTCGACTCTGCGCTCTGCGGGAATCCATCCCCAGGGGGTGGTCCCCCTGGTATGCCCCCGAAAAAAGCTAGGGCTTTGCAGATTTGGTCAACCACAAGGACAGGGTGAAGGCTCCGCAGTAACGTCAACAACCGGGCCTGTTCTGCCTTGGTTTCTTCGGGGGTCAGCGGGGTCTGGCGCGTCCGATGCGCGGCTGCAGTTACTGATGCTTGCGGCGGAACGATAGGCTTAGCCGCCGGTTCTGGTTCGTCGGGGATGTGTATAAACCGGCTCCTTCGTAACGACACATAGCCATTCTCATAAGCCCGCTTCGCAGCAAGCTCTGTGCTCTCGCTGGTTCTTTTTGCCTCAGCGTCACGTTCCGTGGCCTCCGTCCTGCCCGCCACATCTATATGCATCACGCTGAAATTTCCCTTGGAGCCATCTGTCTTGCCCTTCAACTTGCTGGGAACGGGATTTCGAATGCGGCCGTCTCGGTGGGGGCCACTTGACGCGTCGGGGACATTGGAATCGCTTGTCGCTAAAACACCGAAACTGGCTGTAGTTGTAGGCGCTGTTGGAACTGCTGGCGCCGATTTTTCCATTGGCGCACGACTCGACATGGAACCTGGTTTAGGCAGGGGAACGGGAGTGACTTTGGATGTGGTAGCCGTGCGTGAAGAGAGTGTTGCGCCTGCGCGTGAAAGTTAGCAGCACATTTGGTCCCCCTCATCATTATCATGCCCACCTGAAGGGGGAGCCATTGGAAGGTGTGGCTATGAAGAGCGTCGCACGATGCAAAACTCAGCGGTGGCATAAATGCTGAAGCGGCTCCAGTGATATGATTGATCTAATGGGGCGTCAAGTCACAACCTCGGCGCCCAAACTGCATTTTCGAAGTGAATCTGGGTTGAATATGTTTTGACGGAGGTGCTGGTGAGAAAGCGATAACAGAGGCGCGCCGAATCGATGGAGAAGAGTTCAGCGACTCCACAAGATGCCAGGGAGCAGGGAGCGCCAGGTTGGCAGCCAAAGTCAACAGGCCCGACTATGCGCGTTGACCAGCACGAGAGGGAGAGCAACGCAAGAACGTTGTTGCCGCCGTTCCACAGCTCTGGCTGGGTGAAGTATAAAGATTGTCAAAGTCGAAGTAGCTGCACTCGGTAAGCCCAATGACCTGAGGCGGTTGGTGATACAACTGTACACGCCAGGCCAATGTTGCTTGGAATCGAAAGTTGAGGGGCAATGGAGCGATCACAGAGCGATGGCTGGGGCCTGAAAAGCGGTCCACGAATGTGTGATGCCAGACACAAACATGACGATGTCAGCGGCCCTGGAGAGACTGGGGATACTGGGTCGAGGCCGATAACTCGGTGTAGTTTCTCTGCGGAGCAGCTGAATGGCAAAGGTCCGTCGGTCGGTTGGAGTTGAGGTTGAACAGCGGAAACGCACCTCACCTAATACGAAAGAAATGCAGACACATGAACAAGGACGAAAGCCCGCGCCTTGATTGGTAGCTCGCCGCCAATCATGCGCCAACAAGCCTCACCCACGCTACCTACAACTGCGCCCAGTGTGGCTGCTGTATGCGTAACAGCTGCTGTTCATTTCCCCAGCGTCGTGATGAATCTCCCGATGCTAACACTTGGCCTACTGGCCCAATAACAAGACATAAACAGGTCTAGCCTCATAGGAGAAGGAATCCAAGTTCGACGGATTGGGGCAGAACGGAAGGCTCCAACTGATACATTGGGCCTCCGGCACATCTTACACATATCGTCCCGACCCCCGACTGGGGTACGTACCGGGCCCATAGCTGCCAAATCAAATGCGACCGCCAGGGGCCCAGCTAAGCTGCTGGTGAGCTCCCCACTTCCAGGTGCTTGGTGTGTTCCAACATCATCAATTGATACCAACATCACCCTCATCGAGACCTCCCACCGCACCCCACGGCATCCCGCAGAACGCCTTCAATATTAACCTCTCAAGCCTCTCTACTTTTCTGCCTCCTGTATCGGTTAAACAACCAGCCCTACTCAACCGCCCTTGTCCTCGCAACCGGTCGTCTCTATCGCACAGGCAACCACCCCTCCCCTTGAAGGGAAATCCCCCAGAGTCCAGAGTCCCGAGAGCAACACCTCGGCTTCTCGACACACCTGTACCGCCTTGCAACGAACTCTAGGCCGACCCCAAGCATACCGGCATGCTGTAGGCCGCCATGGCTCCGGCGCAATACATACTCGTTTCCCTGCCCCTCCGCGTCTTCGATGACGATCCGCTCAAGTCCTTGGCCGCCACCGTGGGTCGTGACAATGGCGAGGTGCTGCCCTACCCTGTCCCGTCGTTCAAGATTGGCACACTCGACGCCCTGGTGCAACATGCCGACGACCTAGCAAAGCTCAACGGCGCCTGCGAAGCTGCCGTCGCCAAGGTTGCCGATTCCCTCAGAGGCATTTTGGATGGTGATGAAGACCTAGTGGCTCAACAAAAGATAGTCAATGACAGTAAGCTTGTGTTGCGCTATTTGCCATCGTGCCAGAATGACTGCTGACAAGTATGACACAGAACCCACGGATCAGTACCTGCGCTCATTCCAATGGAACAAACTCCGCTACCGAGCTGATCGGCCTCTGGTTGAGCTCATCGAAAATCTCCAAAACGACTTGCAAAACTCAGATAACGATGTCAAGGCCAAGTTCAACCAGTATAACACCGTCAAGACGAATCTCGCCGCCTTGGAGAGGAAACAAACGTAGGCTATCCCAGACTTTTGCGGCTGTGTAGCTTCTCTCATGTTCCGGGCTGACTATAATTCATCTAACCAGAGGAAACCTCGTCACCAAGTCGCTCACGCCCATCGTGGACCCAAAGCTCCTTGTACAGGACTCGGAATACATGGAAACGCACCTCATTGTGGTGCCGACGAACGCACGGAAAGACTTCATCCGCAGCTATGAGACACTTGCTCCCATGGTAGTGCCGCGGTCATCTATTCAGGTTGCTCAGGACGACGAATTCACGCTGTTTGCAGTCACAACGTTTAAGAAGACGAGCGCCGAGTTTCTTCAAAAGTGCAGGGAGCACAAATGGACCCCTCGCCAGTACAAGTATGTGGAGGGCGGCAAAGAAGAAGAGCAACGCGAGCTCCAACGCGTCGAGAAGGAGGCGAGAAAGGTGCGGGCCGAGGCCCTTTTGCTGGGTCGGACAGGTTGGGGTGAGAGTGTGATGATTTGGGCACATGTCATGACACTTCGCGTCTTTGTCGAGACAGTGCTCAGATACGGCTTACCCTTGGAGTTTGCGTCGGCACTTATCAGAGTAGGTTTTGAAACCCCCAGAAGACGGGCTTGGGAGACAAGACAAAATACCTGAAGCGTTGGAGCTGACACTGCACGTAGACAACGCCAAAACAAGCCAAGAAGGTCAAAACAGCCTTGGACTCGGCATACTCGTACCTTGGGGGCAATGCGTTTGGCCGGGACAAGCATGGGCGGGTCACCAAGGACGATGCATCTCTAACATCCGAAATGGCAGCGGCGGGCCTTAGTGTGGGCGAGGGCAACGAGTACACCGCATATGTGTATTATGAATTTGATCTCCCGTAATCGGTTAGGGGTACCTTCGTGAAGGCATGGACGGGTGAATAGGGAGTGGCTGTATGGTTCGTCATTCGGGAGTCTCGGTGTCAAATGCCTCTTTAACTTTCCTCAGCCCTATTTTTTTTCTTTTTGTTCCCTTGAGATGGATGCCAGAATTTGATGTAACTTGTAGTGGCTTTGCCATTCAGTCTCCGACACGTGCAGAATAGACGCTCAAAGCAGGGCCCAGGATCGCTCTTCATTTATCTCGTCTCGGTGGTCTGGCTGATCAGCCCCTTTTCCGCCAGGTACTCTACAATCTTCCTCACTGATTCCTCCACGCTCAGCTGATCGGTTCGGATGGTGATTTCTGGATTCCCAGGGGCCTCGTACGGCGCCGAGATGCCAGTAAAGTCCTTGATCTCACCAGCACGCGCCTTCTTGTAGAGACCCTTGGGATCTCTCTTCTCGGCCTCCTCCAGAGGGATATCCACAAAGACTTCGATGAACGGGAGTGCGTCGTCGCCGGACTGCGAGGCGTTCGCATGCAAGTCGCGGGCGATCTGCCGGTCGGCCCGGTAAGGAGAGATGAAGGATGTCAGGGCAATGGTGGACGAGTCAGCGAACAACTTGGCAACCTAAGTCGAAGCACAGTATTTTATGATTAGTAACCAGATCGCACGCCCATCAACAAACCCGAGTGACAGGCCGGATTTCCTACCTCAGCAATGCGGCGGATATTCTCGTTGCGGTCTTTCTCCGAGAAGCCCAGGTCCTTGTTCAGGCCGAAGCGAACATTGTCGCCGTCGAGCCTGTAGGCGGCAAGGCCGATATGAAGCAAGTGCTGCTCAAGGGCAGTGGCAACGGTCGACTTTCCCGAGGCAGAGAGACCCGTGAACCAAACAGTAAAGCCGCGTTGGCCACGGAGTTGGTTTCGCTCATGGCGCGAGAGCGATGGATGCCAGGTAATGTTGCTATCGCCCGGTGTCAATACTCCTGGTTCATGGGCTGGTGCGAGACACATCTGCCCCGCCATGAGCCAGCTGTGCTCAGGGACATCAGAAGCTCTAGACTCGGCCCCGAATAGCGGGACGGAGAAGCAACCAGGTTCAACTTACGTGGCCATTATGACGAGTGTCGGACTATCCAGGGACGGCGTCCTTAACGTTCAGTTTGGATTAACAAGTTGGGATGAGGGTCCAACACAAGAATCGATATACATATGGATGGCGGGGTCATAAACGACAATATATATATACATGTAACAAATTCCAACGCCTGGGTGAGTGGGTCATTGTTTCTGCAACCGTTCGGCCGTCCCTGCAGCGAATGTGACTCGACTTGACTCCGATTCGGAGCTGGAGCCCTGCAAAAAGGTCGCCATTGTTGGTCAGTTTGATGTTTCCATCCCAGCATTGAAGCCTTGGTCTGGTCGGATGGCAGATGGCGTCATTTTTTAGCTGCTGCGTGCATGGGAAATACCCCACACCCCACATTGATGTGTGTCTTGGCGGCTTGTCAAGGGCTCTTCTTCCACTTGCACTCTCCACATGCAGCGATTGTACTATGAAGCATTGCGCCCCTACATGACTGGTGTCGACTATTTACGGCCGATCGCGACCTGCTACTACCAAAGCGGCAGCAGCATCTGCTCTAACTATACCTCTATTCAGATGCCTCTATTAAGATGCCTCTATGCGAAATAGCAACGATGTAAATGTATGTCTACCCCCTACAACTTCTATCCACGCCATGTGTCATCTCCCAATCCCCCACTCACCACGAGCTTGCGTGCGCTGTTTCATGTTACTGGGTAAATCTTTGCCATGGTCTGTAAGCGCCAAGTTTGTCAGCAGAACGTGTCTTGAATCGGCTTGGGGGTCTGCATTCAGAAATGTCCATACCGATGCTTGTCTAGGAGAAATGAAAAGAGCGCTCGCCGTGGCCAGTACTGTTGGCTGCTGGCCCTCCTCGGTAGGCAAAGTCTCGATATGGCCCTCGACCCACGCTTTCCTCCCCTCTGCCTTGACTGTCGTCGCCCGGAGCACCAGATACTGATTGGCCATGGCGGGTGCCTTGTAGTTGATCTCAAGCTTGGCTGTCATGCCCACATTAAAAGGCAGCACCGGAAAAGAGCACCGCGCCAGCCCCTCGTCCAACATCGTGGCGAGGAATCCGCCGTGGATGATGCCTTCATGGCCGCACAAGTCGGTTCCCACGTGCGATATTTGAACATAGCTCTTGCCGCTTCGTTCTGACCAACTAAAAGGCGGAACTGTCACTTTCCCTGGTCCCATGAGTGTGCCGCCTGTCAAGTTGTGCTTCCTCCAGGTCTCGGGTATCTTCATGTGCGGGCGAGACTCAATCATATCAGGGTCGGCGCGAAGGGAGGCGACCAGGGGGTGTGAGTTGATGTAGTCTTCCTTGGCCTTGGCATCGTCGTCTTCGGGAGTGTACATGGTGAGGCTGGCAGCATCATCTGGTGGCGAGAGGATTGTCCTAGCGGACTCGTACGCGGGCGCAGCGGCCATGATGAAGCCGAGAGCGGTAAAGAGGAGGATGCGGCCGGTGACGGAGGCGGTTCGACGGAAAAACGGCGGTTTATCGGCTGCAACGGAAGCACTGGCCGAATCTAGGGACCGATCAGGCAGACTGTCAGTGGCCTAGTTTACAGGACGCAGAGCATATACCATGATTGCTTTGAGCTTACCTGTGGTAGTCGAGATAGCACGAGACGGTGGTGTTGGGATACAGTGCCTAGACCTAGGGGTAGAGACAAGGCGGAGGGTGGAAGTATGGCGGCGCGTGGCCGAGAGTAAATGGGAGGACATGGCGAAGAGGCGGCCTCGGGCGAGGAAGACAAGACGGGTTTTATGTCACCGAAATCCGGGTTTCGCAACCTGTCTGCCAGGCACCGCACGACGGCTGGCGGGAATTGCTTTGGACGGATCCACCTTGCTCGCGTCGATGTCGCAGGCGAGCGGACACACGGAGAGGGTGGATCCCGGGAGGCTAGGGTCTAGATGCAAATCTGTCAGCCAGTTTACTTATCATGAACATGGCAGACGCCAAAAGATATAGATATTGAGGGAATACACTGCCCAGGCTTCGAGTCTATGTTCAAGCAGCGCCGGACCGGCATAGAGCAATGCTGAAGAACTTACTGCAGTAACTCTGGTGAGACTGAGCTTCGATGTCAGTGCCAACGGCACAAGCTTGTACCGACGTGACCAGCAATCAGGTCTTGCGGGAAGGAGTGCCGGGGTGAACGAAGCAGAACACGGCTTCAAAACCTCGGCAACGGTTTTCATGGCACCCGGAGGCGCCGGCTCAAGATGGTGACGTCTTGGCACAAATGCTTAGCTAAGGTGTGTGCATCGTCGAGGCTTACACATGGAATCTTCAGACACGCAATGTCTCACAGCCACGAGACAGAATCCCGTGTTCTGGCGTGCAGGATGCACGGGCGCAAGCAATCTGTGCCTTCATCTCGTGGCCGGCCACTGACGCAATTGGATGAACTGCTCACTTGCCTTGAATTGAAGCAACAGAAATGGTTGACATGCCCCTCCATCTGAGCCCACCCACTATTTTATTTTCCTCTATTACCGCTGCTGCTTCTGTTACTATTCACCGCTCCCAGTCCATACATATACACAGTAACACCCATTATGGTACGTTTGCTGGCAAGCAACATCCCCCAGTCGTGGCGGTGGCTAGCCCTGTTAACTGTAGTAGGCCACCGCAGAAACCGTCGAGCTCGGGGCCACTCATGAGCCAAAGGAGGAGTCGCTCCGGGTCTTTGAGCAGATTGAACATGAATTGAAGAAAACACTCGTTCATATCCGTCACGAGCATGACAGTGAGCCAAAATAGCCTGCCTTTTCGCCCATTCCTGGCCAGCAAGGTCCTGATCGCTTACACATTTGCATTTGTCCCCCATAAAAGAACATGAGCCGGAATACTTTGCGGCTACTGAGCATCTCAGTGATGCCGAGTTAGCCGGCTTTACGCTTACGACTTCCAGCAAGTTCGTGTCGCCGTCTCCGCATACGGGATTCATATCTTCGGCAAAGTCAGGATTCCCGCTCTGCCTGATGATGGCCCAGCCTACATTCATTTCCGTGCTTTCACCGGAGGCCCGGACGACGAAGCCAAGCTCCACAGTATCCGTAAGTCAAAGTGCAAAGGCATAGGAGGTCAATGGAGACCCGAGAAGTGCTCAGCTTATAGTGCAAAGATACCGAAGACAAGGAAGAACCCGATGGTGGCCACACTTTCCGCGCCATCTTCACAAAAAACGATCCGCTGGAGTGGTTCGACACCTAGAACCTCTGCCCATGATACCCACAGGGCTGACTTAGATAGCAATAAAACAAGCCACTTTTTGCCCCCTTTTTTGATTAACACAAACTCCCGTCCACCCTAAATAGTGAGGAGTCTCAATAGTTGTGACCTCGCACTTTCCAACCAAAATGCTGTACAGGACATGCTAGTCTTCCAACCCGTCTTGCTCGTCGGCCAACATCTCGGCGTAGTCATCAACTGAAGCGAACGTGGGGAGAGCCTTGAGCTCCTTCTTCCTACGTCTGGCCTCGCTGAACTTCTTCGGTGCCTCCTCCTTGGGTCCCTGGGCCTTGCCTTCCTCGCCTTCACCGTCATCGTCTTCGCCTTCCTCGGAATCTCCAAAGATGCCCTCGAATCCATCATCATCAGAAACATCCGACCCGAGGTCTTCCATATCCTGATCAATCGTAGCATCAACGTCCATGTCCTCGTCGGAATCCTCGTAGCCCTCCATGTCAATGTCTGAAACCTCGTCCGCATCGTCTCCCTCGACCTCGGGCCGAGAATTGACCAGCGCTTCCCAGATCTCGTCTTCGGCCTCCTCGTCATCAGAATCAGCCGCAACCTTGGCCTCCTCCTTCTTCTTTACGCCCTCGGCAGGCTTGCCAATACGGGCAAAGTATTCGTGAAAGAAGACATCTTCGGCCGAGACTTGTTCGGGCTTCAAATTCCAGAATGAAGCCGAGTTGACAGTCTTGGCCTGTTTGGCTCCTGCCTTGTGAGATGCCACAATGTGCGAGGCGCTGCCCGACGCAAGTACAGGCTGCATGATAGAACCACCCCGTTTGGGATCCTCAGTCTTGGGATTGCGGTACACAAACCTGTCAAGGAAGTGCATCAACGTATGGTTGGCCAGGTCAGGCTTGGGAAGCTTCTTGTCCTGTCGAGACAGCAGATTTGTAGCAAACACGCCAACTGATGGGTGATAATGGGAAATGAACGGTACCTAGAACAGAGAAAACACTGTGATTAGTGCATGGCCACAAACCTACGGCATGACTTCAATTGGAAGAACAGCACTTACCAGCTCCCAGAGGCAGCTCCGGTGGGCATTGCTATGCTCCGGGTCTCGTTTGCGGCCATCGTAATCCCCACTGCGTCGAAGGGTTGTCGTTTCTCCCTCTTGCACAGGAGCCTGGGTGTGAGGCTCGTCGTCCCTAACATCCTTGTACACCTCGTCCTCATCGTCCTCGTTATCTTCCGGCTCGTCAAGCAAAGTATGAAGGTCCGGGAAATTGGACTGCAGCTCGGCGATCAAAAACAAGATTCCACAGGCGAACGGAGCTTGGTGCAAGCTCAAAACCTGAACCAGTCTCTTGACAAAGGCCTTAACGCGCCGAACGTCGACGTCGTTCTTCATGGCCCGATACAAAAGATTAAGATACAGCGCCTGCTTGGATGAAGTGATAAGTCTTGGGTCGAGGAGAGACTCATACAATGTCCGGTAAAACCTATCCACGGCCAACAGTTTTGATGAGGCTAGCTGCTGTATGAGCATTAGGGCCTGCACACTCGTGTTGAAATTGGATGAATGTGTGATCCGGAAGAGGGTATCGAGGTGCTTTTCCAGAGTCGAGTCATCGGCCCCGGCAAAAGGGATGGCTCGGTTGACGCCTGTGAGTAACGAAGATACTAGCTTTTGCGCCGTTTCCTGCTCGTTTCCAGTAACGGTAGTGCTGGGTCCCTTCCGCTTCTTGTCCTTCTTCCGGTTGTGGTCGACCTTTTTCTCACTGTCCAGGCCACCCATATCACCCAGTGAGCCCGTCTTTAACAGTGACAAGAAGGACTCAAAATATATCCGCAGAAGGTTGTCGGCAATGGCGGGCTCCTTCGTACTCAGGATTGTCTGGTTCAAAGTGTTGACAGCATAATACCTTGCGCGCATACTTTGCCCTGGCTTGAGAAGAACCTCGAGCTCCACATTCTTGATGACGACAGCTTTCATTCCTGGGTGGAGATTCAACAACTGCAAAATAAGATACGACGCTCGTGATGCAATTTTGCGCTCCCGGTCGCCCAACTTGTTCACGAGCAGCCGGAGGAGATTGGCCTCCTGCTCAGGCTTGCTTTTGAGAAGGCCAAAGACGAAATCGAGAGCTCGCGACCTCGAGTATTCAATCTCATCGGAACACCAGGTCTCCAAGAGCTGGATGATGCGGAAGTAGGCATCTTTAAGCCAATCCTCATATGCCCACATCATCAAATGCGACTGGGTAAGCTTGCCGGGCAGCTTGCTAGATTGCGTCCATGGGGAAGAGCCCTGTCCCTGAAGAGCGCACAGGAGTGCAGGCTGAGCACCGAAAACTCGTAGACGACGGTCGCTTGGGAGCACTGAACCGTTGCCTAGAAGATCAACCAGCGCCCCCAGCGCTGCGATTGCTTGTCCGCGGCTTTTCTTGCCAGCAAGCGCGATCAGATTTTCGAAAGCCTTGCAGGTATGAAGGGGGGACTCCTGTATAGACAAGGTGAGAGCTGATACCTTGTCCGACAGTGTGCCGGATGACATGATGGTGGACATAAACCTCTGGGTCGAGCTCGAGGACTGTTTTTTGTTAAAAGCTGCCGAGTCTTCGTCCAAAAGCGCCTGCGCATATGTCTTCAAATTGGCAATCGAAGCGAAGTGCGGTTTGGCATTGCCAGAAACAGTAGACGGAAGACCCTCCATCGAGAGGCCGTGCCAATCAGGTCTTGGTTCAAAAATCTAGTCCATGTTAGCCACAAGTTTTTGACCCTGAGGTAACAAGGTGCAACCGCGAAGTACTAACCAGCTTGCCTGATTTCTTGCCCTGGCGAGCTTCTTGCCGCTGGTCCACTACTTCTTTCACTTTCTCAGCAACGGGCTCTTCCGCTTGGCCTTCCTGATCTTCGTCGAGTTCTGCTTCCTCCTCCTCCTCCTCCTGGTCTTCTTGTTGTTGTTCATCTTCCCCCTCGCCCTCTTCCTCCGTGTCTAGCTCGGCCTCCCCGCCCTTAACATCCTCGTCTTCCGGCTCAGAATCATCGGTATTGGGGTCTTCCTCGTCGTCACGTAGCTTCTGGAAGCCAAGGCTGGAAGCGAACTTGGCTAGCTCTTGCCGGAGGGCATCGTCTAAAGAGCCATCGGCCGCAGCAGGCTTGGACTTGGGCGCATCACCATCCTCGTTGTCTGATTCAAGATTGGCTACCAATTCGAGATCCTCCTTGTCTCCGCCGAGGGCTAGAATCTCGTCCAAGAGAACAGTGCGCTTGTCGCTTCTCCCTCCTTGCTTTTGCTGCTCGTGAGGCTTGGTCTGGCGTCGCTTCGAGTCGGGGGCATCGTCGCTGTCGCGCTGTCTCTTGCGCTTTGTCGTCTCCTGCTTCTCAGATCCACCAAGAGTCTTGTCAATTTTGCTTGTCAGTTTAGCAAGGGCGGCCTCATCAAATGTTGGTTTCGCAGCCTTTTTCTTGTCCTTCGTGCGCTTGATACCCATTGCGTCTCGCCGAGCTCACAGGAGCTGTTTGTAGGAATTGCTGAGAATTCAATGGCGAATGGGCGGGGTGATGGACAGGGCTCCCGTGAAGTGCGTGTGTCTGGAAAGAATTGCGTGTTGGGCTGCGTCAAACTGGGAATTGTCGACTGCTTTGGTCGACCGACTGAAGTTTTGGAGTGGGGAGAAAAAAAAAGTTGAAGTAGCACTGGAGCCAACCCTGCACGCCGCCCGTCTCCCGGCAGGCAAGCTCAGGGTGGGGCCTCAGTAGCAAGCTGCGGCCCGCTGCGCAGTCAACGGGGGGTCTGTTATTGGACAGAAAATACGGAGTAGTTGAGGCTGTTGAACTAAACTATCCTACGATATATCTTGTCCTTTCTGTATGCCAGATGCCGCCAACATGTTGCGGGACCACCCGAGGTAAAATCACCAAGAAAACCGCCACAGTATGATCCCGCCCGCGCTCGCCCGCCTCTCGCGGGTATGGTTTCCCACCAAAAAAAGACCAGCATCGGGAGTAGAAAATGGGCATGCGAAGCTGATCCGTGCTGGGTTTTTGCGCCCTTCTCACGCCGGTATCTTCCACATGCTTCCTCTGGGGAGGCGCGTGCAGACCAAGCTCGAGGAGCTGGTGGCCAGACATATGGAGCATATGTTGGGTGAGTCTCTCCCTCGGCGCACTAACCATGGTCCCATGCTTACCCATGGCCACTGTCCCGGTCTCCAGCTGCCTCGAGGGTCTCGTTGTCGGCTGTATCAAGCCAGTCTCTCTGGGACAAGAGTGGGAGGCTTGAGAATACCGCGTCCGAGGTGTGTCAAATCGTCATGCCTTGTTTGAACACCTGGTGTTGACACTGCCTTCCCTGCAGCTCTTCAAGTTCTCTGACCGTAAAAACGTTGGCTACCTTCTGGCCCCAACACATGAAGAGGAAATTACCGCTCTGGTGGCCCAGACGGCCAAGACAGCAAAGGATCTCCCCCTCAGGCTATTTCAGATTACACCCAAGTACCGCGATGAGTTTCGCCCGCGCCATGGCCTCCTCCGCGGACGAGAATTCGTTATGAAGGACCTCTATACCTTCGACAGCAGCAAAGAGTCCGCTCTAGAAACCTACGATAACGTTCGTCTGGTGTATTCGCAGATATTTGAGGAGATGAAACTCCCAGTGTTAGCAGCCAAGGCCAGCTCAGGTAACATGGGAGGTAATCTCAGCCACGAATACCATCTTCCCACGCCACTTGGAGAAGACCATGTTATCAGTTGTGATAGCTGTAACTATGTTGCTAACGAGGAGGTGGCTGAATCAGTACTTTCTGACCAGGTTGTCAGTGACACGACCTTCCGCGTCTGGCGAGGCATCACCAAGGACCGAACCAAATTGGTCAACGTCTGGTACCCCAAGCAAACACAACCCCTTGGTGGGGGTGCGTTGAGAGAGTATACGGACCTCGACATAAACATTGCGGAGGTGAAATCCATAATCCCTGACCTGGATGCCGGTGTTGAGGATGCGCTGCCGCTGTGGTCGACGGCGGCAGCTGCGGGTGGGACAGCTGTGGAGCTCGTGAACATTGTTGACTGCCGGCTTCCGCTGTCCTTCTCTGAGAGCCTGGTGGGAACTAAGCCAACCATCCCAAGTTGGCCCAAAAATTTGACGCCACGCAACCAAGTGCCAGTGTCGGTTTCAGTTCAAAACACCAACCAATGGAACAAAGACAGACCACTCAATCTCATTCGGATCCAGACAGGCGACAAGTGCCCTTCGTGCGCATCCGGACATCTAAAGGCAGAGAAGGCAATGGAGTTAGGACACACATTTTACCTTGGCACCCGGTACTCAGAAGCCCTGGGAGCTACAATCTTGGTGCCCAATGATGAGAGGAAAGCTGTGCCAATGCAGATGGGTTGCTATGGAATCGGTATCTCCCGGATTCTTGGCGCCGTCGCAGAGCTCCTGATGGACGAAAAGGGATTGAATTGGCCGGTGGCTATTGCACCCTACTCCTGTGTCATAGTTATGGGCGCTGGTGTCGACGAACAGGATGCAGTGGAGGTGTATCGCCAGATCAACCAGATAGGACGAGTTCAGGCCAAATATCTGGATGTCGTGCTGGACGACAGGCAAAAGACTCTACCCTGGAAGTTGATGGATGCCGATTTAGCTGGTTTCCCCATCATAGTCACGCTTGGGAGGGAGTGGCTTGCGGCAAAACGCCTCGAGGTACAATGTCGACGATTAGGGGTAAAGCAAGCAGTCGGGATAACCGAGCTACCACAGATAATAGCCAAGTTGCACGGAGACTTGTAGGGCTGTATCCACTGTATAAATATACATCTGATGCGTGCTGCTATCACGACCAATAACACCAATGGGTTCTGCTTAATCTCGAAATCATTTATACCTACTCAACCAAGACGGGTGTGTGAGCAAGCAACTCCTACCTACCAAGCGTGCAAAACCCTCCTAGGATCATTATTTCGGCCATTTTAAAGGAACATTGACTGTGCGGCTCTTGCTATCCCTGTAGACAGGTTGGGCGATCGTAAGTCGCCTTTGTTCCACCTGTCACTGCTATCCTTGAGACCTTCACAACCCGCTTTACAGGCTCGGTGTAGTAGTTCCATGTGGTTCCCGAACAAGTATTGACGCTGATCTAAGGGAGAGTGTTGCTCCTGGCTAAACTGAGATAGTGCCACTGACCTCGAACCCCGGCCTATCTGTAAAGGATTTCGGCATAATAAAACAGAACAAAGGGTACTTTTAAATGCTTTTAACAAGTTGATAATAATATAGCTTTCAAAGTATAAAATAATTTATTTTAATGATTTTATAAATAATTTTGTTAACAAATAGAAAAGAAGTAATGTAAATCTTTTTAAATATATTTTATTATTACATTTTTGATGTTTCTTTTAACTTTAAATAAAACAAATTTTATTAAATAATATCTAGAAAATATTCTGCTTATATAATTTTTATTTAACTAGTTACTATTAAAAATTAAAGTATTATTCTAATATAACTTTTAATATGTAAATTAAACTGTAATTTAGACTTCATAAATATAAAGTTCAGTTTATAATTACTTTTATGTTATAAAACTTATTAGATATTTATGTATCATAATAGTACATTCAATATTTATGTAAAAATTGAAAGAAAACAATTAATAAAAATAAAGATATTTCAATTATAATACTTTTTGTATTTATTTGTTAACTTTTCTACTTTAAGGAAATTAGTTAGTTAGGCTTTTAGAAGTAAAAAACCTATTTGAAATGTAGTTTTTTGGTTTTATAAATATATAAATATATTAAAGTTTAAAACAGTTTTAGTAATCTTAAATAATAAATTAATAATTATTATAATATTAGCTTAATACATTTACTTATATAGTCCTAACTACCTAGGTTTCGATGGGCAGTGAGCTTTCTTATAGAGCCTACTGTAAAATTTCTAAGGTTATAAAACATTTATATATTTATTTTTTATAAGGCGTAACTATAATAATACGAAATTAATAAGAAGAAATGTAGTCGGTGAATTATTAAAGGTAGAAATTTTTTTAAAAAGAATTAATACGTAAATATTTATAACTTCGAACATCTTTAATTATTGTAAAAAACCCCTCTACCCAAAGAAACCTAATTATTTAGGTCTTTATAAATAGAGAAGATTCCTATATAATTTACCAATCCTAAATAAACGAAATAATCAAATTAAACATAAAATTTATACTTCTTATGTGACGAACCCCTGTACAGAACCTCTGAAAGGGATACGGGTTGAAGGTAACTTCTGACAATTGGTTCGGTGCAGCTAGACAGTGCACAACAAGATGTCTCAATGTAAACACAAGATACCGTGAATACAACTGTGGATTGCATACTGCGGAACTGTCTATCTACACCAGCCAGTTCCTCTGTATATATAGACCTGTTTATCACCATTATCACCAGTGATAATGTCGATTATTACTCGTCGTTCACCGAAGGCTGGTGATAATTGTGATTATCACCCTTGGCGCTAGTGATAATCTGACTTCCCCACTTTTCCGTTCCTAGTGGTTAGACGGGTCGCGCCCCGCGCTCCCCACTTATGTCAGGTCCGTGACATCTTACTAGGGTAAAAAAATATAATACCAAAAGAGTACGAGGTTAGCGGAAAGAAGTAAAGTTGATTAATTTTCGGAAACAACGAAAATATTTCCTTTCCGCTTTAGTTTGAGGTATAGATTTACGCCTAATTGTGACGAACCCCTATACAGAACCTTTAAAAGGGATACGGGTTAAAGGTAACTTCTAATAATTAGTTCGGTGCAGCTAAATAGTATATAATAAAATGTCTTAATATAAATATAAAATACCGTAAATATAATTATAAATTACATACTACGGAACTATCTATCTATATTAGCTAGTTCCTGTATATACATAAACTTCTTTTCCTAACTGTAATTCCTTTAATTAATATCCTAAGTATATTAATTACTTACGTTTAGCCTAATTAATATCCTAATTATATTAATTATCCCAGCCTAGCCTATTTAATTTAATTAATATTTTAATCGTATTAATTACCGTCCCTTACTATAATTAGCTTTCTTAAGTATTTTCCTAATTAGCCTTTACTCCCGTAATTCTATAACTAATCGTTATTCTCGTTTATATATTAGGGTTATAATACGATACTCCTCCTTTTAAACTAACGTCCCGGTAGTCCTAATTTTTTTTATTTTTTTTAATAACAACTTCCTTCCTTAATAAATTTTCCCTTCTTATTATTATCTTTTCGCAATATTTAATTATATTAAGAAACCTACGCCAAAAGGCCTTTCCAGTACCCTTCGTTACTAAAATCTTATTACTATTACTTTTATTTTTAATAACAAAATACTTCCTTATATGTTTTACGAAACCCTTAGAATTTTTGATTATTACACTTTCGAATACTTTTTTAGATATAACTACTATATTAGATCTAATCGTTTCGACTATGATATCCCTGAATATTACTTACGAGCCTAATAACTTTCCTTCGTTATTAAAAGGAAAAACTAAATATTAATAAGCGAAAAGCCCATACGACTATACTATAAACTACTTCAAAGCTTTCGCGAATAGAGACTTAGCGTTATACTTTAGTCGCTAAATTCCGTTATATTACGGCCCGTAAAGAACGGTTGATCGAGGATTTAAAACGGAAGGAAGTATAAATTACCTTTATTACTAATCTTCTTCTAACCTTTTCTCTTAATTGGGCCTCCGTAATACTAAACTAGCCCGACCTAAACCTTCCGAACGACCTATCCTTTAACTTTCCGCTTAATTCCGACCTTTTCCTAAAGTCGGCCGTTAGTACTTCCCGGAGTTCCCTACCTCCAGCTACCCCGGATTTTTCTAACGGTAATCCTTTTATTTTTTAAGGTAATTAATATTTATAATATTATTTACGCCTAGATTCCTTCGTACTTATTAACTTTATAGTATAGTACGTAGTACGTTAATTACTACGTTAAAAGTATAAATTTAATTCCTATCGAGGTTCTTTTATATTTATATTATAAATATTTTTCTATAACTTAAATATAGTTCTTTTTATTTATTTAGGTTTTAATCGGTTTAGGTATTACTAATAAAATTCTTTTTATTTATTTAAGTAATTAAGGTTTACTTTTAATTCCTATAAATTATTTATAACCGAATACTTTAATTAATTAACTAAATACTTTAATTAATTTTTATTAAACCATAAATTTAATATTTCTTTTATATTACACTTCTTTTTTTTGTCCTCTACTATTACTTATATATTAACTTTACTTACCGGTAATATAGATTCCAGAAGTAAGATATATAAGGTATATAACCTTAAACGTATTATACTAAGTAGCTTTAATTCGAATACCGTTTTTAAAATTTTCCTTTTAATCTTAAATAAGCTTACTTTCCTATAGTTTAGCTTTTTACTAGGTTTTTTAATACGTAAATTATATATAGAAAGGAATATTATATTTTTTTTTAAAGCGAAGTTCCTCGAGCTTTTTAATATTATAGTATTTCTATATCCTTTTTCTTATAAACTTTAGTTTTTACTTAAGCTTACTATAAAATATATATAACTTATTTACTTTTACCCTAACTTTAACTACCTTTACGCTAAGTCCTTACCGTAGGTTTACTTTATATTTAAAATTTACGAAAAACGGCGTAACTTTAATCGTTTTTATTAATAATATATTATATATTAATTATACCGTAAATAATAATTTAACCTAATTATTTT